AAGTGATCTGCTCCATCAAAATCAGTCGCATTGACCCGAAGACACATTTTGAGTTGTATACACTGTTTGAAAGAGGAGATTCCTAGCTTTCTAATGATATCAGGATTGTTGTTGTACTCCAAATATTAAGCAAAATATGTCACATTATATAATGACTGTCACCGAGTCATCATTTTGAGAAAAAGGCCTTTAAAGTTTCCTCTTCTCTGGAATCCATCGATCTGATTGATTAGTAGCGGAGCAAATGATTAAAGTAGTAACGGAGGGAAAATATTTTCGTTTGGATTGCTGAGGCCTGTACTACGAAGCTGGATTTTCGCTTAGCCGGCTAAATTCAGGGAAATCTCGGGCTTTCCGGTCCTACGACGCTGGTTCTCTTTTTAGCAGGCTAGATTTCCATGGTAACTTATGCTGAGCGGCAAACCTGCTCCGGAGCAGGTTAGGTGGCAGGCTAAGAGATCAACTCAGTGAAAGCACCGCCTGCTGACCAATCAGAGCTCCGTGTGCGGAGTTTAAAGCGATCAATTCATATTACAGGATAGAGGAAATAGAGAAAAACTGCCGTTGCAGGAAAGACGGCCGTGAAAATTAATAGAATATCCCCTCCCATCTTCAGAGCAATCTGACTATTATAATATTAGCGTTAAGAAAGCTTACTTAAATATCTGCCACGACATAAGTAACTGGATCAGAGTAACATTAAGTACAGTCCGCGGCACTGTGAGTGCAGACGTCGATGTGTCTCATTATCATTCATATCATATCACATCATATCACATCATAATGTATCATATATTTCCTTATCTGAGTCAGCTGAGCTGTATCTGGCCGTGCAACACTCACAGTGTCACATACTGTATGCAGAAGTATTATTTTAAGCAACACATTAAGTTGATGAAACACTCGAGTCAAATTCTCCTAATTAAAGTCAGATCCACTCCTGTCTTGGACGGGGCAGTGATATCATAAACCTGTTAATGTATACGCATTCAAACACTTTTTCTTTTACCAGCTGTATTCACCTTGCAGGTGCAGCTATGTGGCTTTTATCCTGGGTAAAGTGTTTAAGTCATGGATGTTTAAAGTTTAACTTCATATTTGACTAATATTAAAGTTCACTTTTCATTCAGGAAGTATGACGCTGCGCTGTCAGTACGCTTGTCCGTGTTTGAGATTGGTCGAATGCTCCAAATACCACCCCTTTCATGTGAACGCGCACCTAACTAGATAGGACACGGCTGGCTTGAGCGATCCACTTGATAACCAGCGTCGTAGTACAGTTTAGCGAGAGCGCGTATGTTTTGGCTTAGGCCAACCGGCTAACTCAAACATATCCAGGTTAGGTTGAACCAACTTCGTAGTACAGGCCTCGTGTGTGTGTGTGTGTGTGTGTGTGGTCGGTGGGGGGGTGGTTGTGTGTGTGTGTGTGTGTGGTCGGTGGGGGGGTGGTTGTGTGTGTGTATTTTTGCGTTTGTGTATATTGTGTTTGTTTCCCGGGGAAAACACTCACGAGAAACACCGGCTGTTCTTATGCCTGCTGTGACGTTAAGTTACTCCGTTCTCTGCTTGTAATTATGCCGTTACAAGCTTCAAAGTTGTATTTATCATCTGAATTTGCCGAAACAAGTTTAATATTCTAAAAGCCAAGACTTATATGATTATTTGAAATCAGATGAAAACAAACTGTAACGGACCCTGCCGTGTTATCTATGATTACTATACGCCTTACATTCATAATTTCAGCGGAGGGAGGGGAAGCGGCGCTGTGGAAGAGCAGAGTGGCGAGTGAGAGCTGTCATCTTCCCTTTACAAGCTTAAAAAATGCCTGTAGCTAATGAGATTTAATATAACAATCAAAAATAACAAAATATACACAGCTATATCAGATCGCGTTCTTTTTACATGCGACTTTAGAGTAGAGGGGAATTATTGAAACGGGATGTGTACAGTGTTCCGCGGCATCCGCTGCTGCGAAAATGTGGGTCAGGGCTGTAAAGTGGGGGGGCCAATGGCCCCCTGGCCCCCTTGCTTCCGGCGCCCTTGCTATGATTACTATACGCCTTACATTCATTATTTCAGTCAGAGGGAGGGGAAGCAGCGCTGCAGAGTGGCGAGTGAGAGCTGTCATCTTCCCTTTACAAGCTGTGTGATTTTGGAAATAAAAGTTTCATATTCTGAAAGCCAAGACTTTGTTTATTTAAAATCAAACCAAACACCCGAACACCGAAAAACTAATTTTTTACGCAAATTCATGTTTATTTTGAAATGAGCCGTTGCGACTTCCGACTGATTTCGATAGAGCGGGTCACATAGGAGATGACATTCCCATCTCAGACAACAACAAAACAAAAACAGAAGAAATAAAGATACAGTCGGTAGGATCACTTCAACATTTCACAAACAAAAATAGGTTGACAACCAAAAACCACCAAAAACACAACATGGCAAGCATATTTATTGTTCCTTTATCCCACTCTTCGTTAGAGCTAATTATTTCCCATTTCATGGTGTGATAAGCCTTTGATTTTTTCTGCCAATAATTTTTTTCAAAAATAAATATATTTTTGATCTATTCTTCAACCACCTTAAATTAAGATTACTCCTTGATTGACTTTTAAAAATATGTATTTTAGCCAGAAGAATAGTTGTATTTATTAACTGCGTGCGGTCTTCATCTAAAAGCCCAAATAAAATATTAAAGGGTGTAAATGTAAATTCAATATTTGCCGCCAAATAATTTGCAAAACATTATGATTTGTGTGGAAACATTTTCATTATTAAGATTTTTTTAGTTTGAACCTCTTTTCCTTTCTCTTTCTTGATCCTCCTTAGCAACGGTCATTACAGTCCTTGTCTGTTCTGGATTTACAACGTGTCACATGTTCTGAATTGACCAATCAGAACTTTATTTAGCCTCCGTATTGTTTATGGTTGAATGTGGGCCGCGAAAATGTGATTCTTAAGTGGGCCCTGAGTTGAAAAAGGTTGGGAACCGCTGAAATAGACTATTCGACTGCAACCCAGGCCTGTAACTCTGCCAAGAAGAAGCGGCCATCTCCTATCACATCTTAATCCTTTTGTTCTTTCCCCCTTACACAGCAAAACGCCTGCAAGATGCTGAAGAACGGTGAAGCAGGGCCTCACTTCATGGCCTCTCCTCAGTGTGTGGGCTACAGCCGCAAGACAGCGCTGCCTCTCTCCATGAACATGTGTCTGCCCGACCTGACGGAGATCCGCAGGGCCGTCAGGCTGTGGGTGAAGAACACCTCCGCCCGCTCCGTCTACATCGCCACCGACTCAGAGTCCCACAGCAGGGACATCCAAAAGCTCTTCAAGGGCAAGGTGTGTACAACCTCTGTGATGCATTCACATGTGTCATAAATTACTTCTGGCTTCATTTCTGTCATGTTATAACAATCAGAATGCTTAATTTATCCTGGGAGGATGAAATAAAATAAAAGATAAATACAAAAATGTAATGGACTAGCTTATTTTTGACTGTGCTAGTTGTCACAACTAGCACATTCTTTACACAGTCAACATGCCTTAACCCAGAAGACCTTAAGTCTGAGTCCAGATTTCCATGCAAACCACGCCATTTGTCTAAAATGGAAATATTACAGTTTTTGACACCAAGCATTTTAAGAATGTCCAAAAATTGTTTATTTGTGTTTTTCCAGGTGAAAGTGGTGAGTCTACAGCCCGACTCGGCCCAAATGGACCTGTACATCTTAGGCCGAGCCGAGCACTTCATCGGCAACTGTGTCTCCTCCTTCTCCGCCTTCGTGAAGAGAGAGCGGGACGTCCACGGCCTCCCATCATCCTTTTTTGGCATGGACAAGCCTGGGAAATTAAATCAAAAAGAAGAACTCTGAGAACAAAGGTCACATGGTCATCCTGGAGGACTGTAATGAGGAGGTTAGGGAACAAGTGGAAGGCAGAGAATATTTAAATGTGACATGAGGGTTCAGGAAGGCTGGTCCTGTTTTAGAATGGGTTTTAATGTGAGAAGGAGGAAGGGCTTATAAAGTATGATGCAGCATGTCAGTACTGTCTGAAAAGTGCTATGATATGGACACAGCTGCCACCAAGGAAAACTATTTTTGTCTGTTACCTGCTTGAAAATCCAGTATTTGCACCCTCCCAAGATTTTCCTTCCATAAGCCTGTGTTCCCTACATCAAAGCTAGTTTTCCTTACGATCAGGAAAACCAACAGATCCTCTAGCATTTCCTTTAGCTTCTGCCATAGTCTGTGCTGCCACCATGCTTTGCAATCCAGACATGTTCGCAGGACCTCTGGTGACCTCAGTGAACCCTGGAAAAGACGGCAGTGCCAGTGATCATGTTCCCTCCCTCTCTATTTTTCCCTCTTCTCTTTCTCTCTCCCCATCTTTCCACCCCTCCATGTCTTTTCCTGCTTGCTCTTTCCTTTCCTCTCTGCCCTCCATTCCAAGGAGAGCACAGTAACTGATCCTCCTGTACATACTAATTATAGGAAGGAAAAAGGAGACCGTTAACTGAACAGTATTGATATTCATTGAATGTGAAGAAATATATCAGGGAGGTTTTAGGATGACAAAAAAGTAGATTTGCACAGGTTAAATTGATTAAATGCGGTTGTGGAATGTGTGTCAAGCTAATTGTGTTCCTCTGTGGGAAAGCAGTGAATGCAATGATTTTTAAGTCGAATGTTTTGTATAATGTTTTCCACCATTAAAGTGATGCACACTATTTGTTTTTAAGTACAAACCGCCTCTGTTTACATCCGTGAGTGCAAGTTTAGCTGTGAGTACAGTGGAATCAGCTGATATACTAAGCTATGTTGAGACCTGGTTGCCAGTTAAGCCAGGGAACCCTGCATCTGTATTCTTCATAATGCTAGTGTTGCGTTTACCGCCTTGTTATTCACATTAGACGTTTTACGTTTTTTGAGATTGTGTGCTTAACTCTAAAATACATGCTCACTTTAGAAGCGCATTTTTTTATACGGGTTAATGTGTTTTCACACGTACCTCTTTACGGGGATATGTGTTCGAATCTGGCAACCGTGTTGCGGGACCGCTGTGGGGATGAGCAGCGGCTAATGGCTGACTGGGAGTTCTGATTAGCTTGCCGCTGGTAAGTCTTTATCGACATATTTGTGTCTTCTGTAAAACGCTGTGTTTGTATTACAACGGTGTAATGTGACTAATGTGATTTTTACATTTTTGTATGGTGATATATTTTATGGATTTATGCCCCTCCTGCTAGCGATAGCCAGGTAATGCTACCAGTCCTGTGGCTTCGGTTACCAGTGTTTGTCGTTGCTAGGCCGGTTTTGTGGTCTCGTTATGGTCTGCATTTTGAATAAGCTAACGGTGGTTAGCTCTGCCGAACGCTTCTTTAAAAAAACATTGCTAACATCGTTTGAGCAGCTATTAATCCGCGGGTTATCAACCTGCTACGGCGGACGAATTGTTGTCATTGTATAGCCTGGAATTCCACTGAGGTCTAACTGAAGTTTATACCTGCCGGTTAACGGGCTACATGCAGTTAGTCAGCTAAAACGGTGTAGTGGCTCCACTTGTGTGTATAATAAATAAGAAGCCGTGGTGCAAAGTAACTAAGTAGAATTACTTAAATACTGTACTTCCACTACAATTCACAGTTACATCGTGTACTTTAACTCCACTACATGTATTTAATACCTTTTAGTTTCTTTACATATTTGGATTAATGATGTGAAATACAGTCAAGTCTTAAATCAGACTTTATACCTGGAGTACTTCTCCCACCTCTGCACTTAAGTAACAGCGAAAATATGTCTTATTTGGGCCAACTCAAATCTAACATAATCATTTCTCGGGTGTGTTGTAACTTCTGGAATAAATATCATTAGGCTTTGCCTACGCTTGTGTTTCCACAGGTATAAGGAGTTGTCAAGACTAAAGATTACTGAGCTGCAGTACAGGTGTCAGTGTCATGATAGCTAACTATCTCAATAAGAAGTCTGTCAATAGCTTTGACATTGAACTTTATTGATTCTTCCAGCCTGACTAAAAATGTGTGTGATGCATTTACTGTGAAGGTTGTGAGTCACCATGAGTGTTTCCTTGCAGGTCTGTATTAATCATTGAATGTGTTTTCCCTAACAGTTTGTGATGTGGGACCTTGTTTTGGTGAACCATTCCTGAAGGTGCATTTGGAAGAAAGAGCCTACGAGTGCCAGGCCGTGTAGGGTTGGCAGCCGCTTTGCAACATGTCCAAGAGCAAGAGCTCGGAGTCGATCAAGGTGGTGGTCCGCTGTCGCCCTATGAATGAAAAAGAAAAGGCAGCCAAGTTTGAAAGGGTCGTCTCTGTCGACGTGAAACTGGGCCAAATAATTGTCAGGAACCCCAGGGAGGCTGCTGCCAATGAACACCCCAAAGTCTTCACTTATGATTCAGTATACGACTGGAACTCTAAACAAATAGATTTGTATGATGAAACCTTCAGGCCCCTGGTGGACTCAGTTTTACTTGGGTTCAACGGGACCATTTTTGCCTATGGTCAGACGGGTACAGGGAAAACATACACCATGGAGGGGGTGAGAAATGATCCAGAGAGGAGAGGGGTAATCCCAAACTCATTTGAGCATGTCTTCACTCACATATCCCGCTCCCAGAATCAGCAGTACTTGGTGAGAGCATCGTATCTAGAAATCTACCAGGAGGAGATCAAAGACCTGCTCTCCAAAGACCAGACCCGCCGTCTCGAGCTCAGAGAGAGGCCTGACACCGGTGTGTATGTGAAAGACCTTTCCTCATTTGTCACCAAGAGCGTGCGGGAGATTGAACATGTCATGAACGTGGGCAACCAGAATCGATCAGTGGGTGCCACGAACATGAATGAACACAGCTCCCGTTCTCATGCTATCTTCGTCATCACCGTGGAGTGCAGTGAGCTGGGTGTGGATGGGGAGAACCATATCAGAGTGGGCAAACTGAACCTGGTAGATCTAGCAGGAAGTGAAAGACAGACCAAGACTGGTGCTCAGGGGGAGCGCCTCAAAGAAGCCACGAAGATCAACCTGTCGCTTTCTGCTCTGGGGAACGTCATATCATCTCTGGTGGACGGCAGGAGCAGCCACATCCCGTACCGAGACTCCAAACTCACCCGCCTGCTGCAGGACTCTCTTGGGGGAAATGCCCGCACAGTCATGGTGGCCAACATCGGCCCTGCATCCTACAACCTGGAGGAGACACTGACAACGCTGCGCTACTCCAACAGGGCTAAGAACATTAAAAATAAACCACGTATCAATGAAGACCCCAAAGATGCCCTGCTGAGGGAGTTCCAGGAGGAGATCGCAAGGCTGAAGGAACAGCTGGAGAAGCGCTCCGGAAAGAAGAAAAGGAGGAGGAAGAGGAGGGGTGGGGAAGGGAGCGACGGTGAGGATCTGGAGGAAGGGGAGACGGAGGAGGATGAGGAAGAAGGGGAAGATAAAGGGGATTACTGGCGGGAGCAGCAGGAGAAGTTGGAGAGAGAGAGAAAAGCCATCATGGAGGATCACAGTCTGGTGGCTGAGGAGAAACTCCGGCTGCTCAAAGAGAAAGAGAAGAAGATGGAAGACCTGAAGAGGGAGAAGGACGCCGGGGAGATGCTGTCAGCCAAAGTGAAGGTGGGCTGATCCAAACTGTTTCTGTACATCCGGTGTGACTGATTGATTTGATTTGAGAGGAAACGGTGTAGCATAGACTACAGAGGTGGGAAGTATCTAAGTACATTTACTCAAGAACTGTACTCAAGTAAAATGTTGAGATAAATGTACTTTACTTGAGTATTTCCATTTAATGCTACTACTACTACATTTATTAAACAGCTTTAGCTACTTTTAACAAAATGCATATCTTAAAATTAAACTAATGGACGAACTGTTTAAGTCACAGAAGAGTCAAATTATTACAATATTTCACAAAAGGTCAATCGGAACTTATTTTGTCTACAACAGTAAAATGCTACTTGATGCAACAATATTATCTAGGAATGTCACATGTACATTTTAAGTACATTTAGCTGATAATACTTTTGTACTTTCACTGAGTTATGTGAGATTCTAAATGCAGCACTTTTACTTGAAATTGAGTATTTTGACAATATTGTATTAGTACTACTACTTAAGTAAAGCACCTGAATACAATTGATAGACTCCAGATTCTCTTTCTTTGGATTCTATAAACACAAGCCAGTGGATAAACTCATTATACCCTGCTGGACAAACTGTTTTTGTATTTGCATGCAACCCTAGCTGATGAAATGTGTCAGTTGTCAATGCTTCTTCTCCCCAATGGGACTTGGTTTCATCCTCTTCTTTTTTTCTTCTCCACCCAGGCGATGGAGAGTAAGCTCCTGGTGGGGGGGAAGAACATTGTGGATCACACCAATGAGCAACAGAAAATGCTGGAGCTGAAGAGGCAGGAAATCACGGAGCAGGTACACCACACCCCCGTAATATGATTTACGCTTTCAGTAAGCAATGGCTTGAAGGTCACATTTCAGTAAGCAATGGCTTGAAGGTCACATTTCAGTCAGCAATGTATTGCTGCTAACAGGAAAGCTGCTTTTTTGCTTTTATGCAAATGCATAAAGATAGTTTATTTTGTACTTATAACAACAAAACAAAAGCTCCCTGCTGGGGCCTGAGGTATCACTCACGTTGCCCACTGACAAAGGTATGTATTGGGCCAGAGTGCCTTTTTTGGAGAGTTGAAAGGGGGAGACAGAGGGGAGGACGTTGCCTGAAACGTTCGGCTTACTCAGCAGCAGTCAGCGCTGACAAGTTTGGTCAACTTTTGTTAATTTTAAATATAAGAATGTTTTAAAACTATTTTTTCAAAGGTTTCATTGTCATATGCACAAAAGCTACAGTGTAGTTATGGGAATGAAACACTTAAGTCCCAGGCTCCTTCAATAATGCTACATGAATATATATGAGTGCAAAAGAAACAGAGTAGAATTACTCAGTTTCTAGTGCAAGAGAATGTTTTAAGTGACCAATGTACAAGTAAATGTGTAAGAAGTACACTGTTTACATGTAAAATAGAAAAAGAAGAGCAAAAACAGAACTTAAAATGTATAATCTTCCCATTGGTTTGTGTACCGGACCTTCACCCCAGAAGGTTCAGCACAAATACACAAACTGTTACACGATGGGTTTGAATGCTGTCAGGATGAGATTAAATAATTTCCGATGCTTTATGGGCACCAGGTGTAGACTACAAGACTTGTGTCACTATTTTCTGTCCCAGATACACTGCTTAGATCCAAAACAACACATCTGTGTCTTCATCCTGTTGGGAGCGTCCTCAGATGCTTTAACGGAATCAGACAGAATAAAACCAGTGCCACTTAAAAATAGCACCAATTATTTTTTGGGCAAAATATACTGCTGCTGTAATCTATGGGAGGAAAGAGAGCGGCAAGGGGAGGGGGTTATAGAGCAGCAGGTCAGAGTTCAGGATGTAGAGATGGTGTTAATGGTGCTGATGCTTCAGTGAAACAATGAGGTAAATGCAGTAAGAAGATATCAACAGAGCCTGTAGAGAACAAGTATCAAATCAGGTTTAAGAGTCAGGATAGGGTTTAAGGACATCTTGCCCTAACAACGAATGTAGATTTTCAAATGTAATCTATCATTAAAGACCAAAAAACCCAGGCGTGTGCTTATCTCTAACAATCAAAGGAAATTAACTCGTATGTCATATGAAGAATAGGGCCCAGGCTCAACATCAGACTTATTGTTTGACAATTTGAAAGTCCGTTGACAGTAAGCGTAGGAAATCCTATTATTTGCTAATGTAGCTTTAGCATTTGGATGTTAGTAGCAATTTCCCATCCCTTGTGTGTCTGTAGTCCTTATAATCAGACCCACTTCTTGCATTGTGGTCCCTGTAGGGCAGGGGTGCCCAACTAGTCGATCGCGATCGACGGGAGATTCCCAGTCGATCGCGAGATGTGTCTAAAAATAGAACAACAATATTCTGTTTTGTCGTTAATGTCCTATAACATCATCTTCCTGTGCCAGAATAATGCACTTGAACGCATCAAAGCTTTGTGATTGGCGTGACCCCATGTGTCGGGGCGTGGCTGGTGGGAAGTGGGCACTAGTTCGCTGACGTTGTCCGTGGCAACAGGAGTGACAGTCCGCACACACACAAGACCACAATTATGGCAGAAGCAAAAAAGCCCAAAATATATCATTTTCACTCCGAGTGGGAGGATGATTATTTTTTTGTTTATTCCAATTCAAAGTCCATCTGTCTCATCTGCAATGCGAGCGTGGCTTTACCGAAGAAGGGTAATTTAGAGCGGCATTTCAAAACGGTGCACAAACGCTACGAGACGGGATTCCCTCCTAATTCTGCCCTACGCTCCCAAAAGGTGAGGGACCTGAAAGGACAGCTAAATGCACAGCAGTCCATCTTCACCAGGCCCAACAACAAGAGCAAGGCTGCTACCATAGCATCTTATCGTGTCAGTCACGTTTTTGCGAAACACATGAAGTCTTTCAAAGACGGCGAAGTTGTGAAAGAAGCATTCCTGGAGGCTGCCGACGTGCTTTTTGGGGACAGTAAAAATAACAATAGCATTTCAACAGGTTTTTGATATAATAAAGACTCAAGTTAGATACCGTTATTAATCAGCTGTAAGTTTTAGTTTGTTTGAACTTATTCTTTTAGTGGGAATGCTGATACAGCATTCCAACTATCTGTTATTCAAAATCTTGATTCCGCCCGTTATTTTGCCGGCCTTCTCCTCCCGCATTGAACATCGCAGAAACTCCGTTCAAACATCAAAACGTTCAGCTCGGTTGGGAATCGATTGCTATTACTTTTATCATTCATAACTTTCATAATTCCAGAGATACATCACATTTTTAACCATTGAAGTCAATGGAGAAAATCTTCAGACTTGAACAATCTTCATGCAACTTCAACTGCTAACTGTTCCTTCATACCTTCTCTCAGAAACCTCATTCCAACTTTAAAATGTTACACATCTTTCTGACATTATTCGTGTAACACAACTTTTAAATCTGATTCTTACTTTTAGAGATATTAAACATTGTTCAGACCTTGGTAAAGAGGCCTTCTTCAGATTTTAACATTAACTAGAGTGCGTGATGTCACAGCTAGAGTGTAGGGAATCTTGAAATTTGTCTTCATATATTTTTTTAAAACTGCCATAATTCCCAAACCATTAATTCATGAGACATTCTTTTTCATGACAAACGTAGGAAAACATCTCGTAGCTTGAAAAATGACAAATAATTAAGCAAAATAATTAAACAAAATGCCTCTTGAGGGCATGAAGTGACAAAAACGTTCAACATGTCTCCAGTAAAGCCCATTGTAATTTCAGGCTGATATTTCCTCACAGCAGCAGCCGCACACCTTTAGTTAAACTGCCAAAAGGGCCACATTATTAACCCGAAAGTACACAAAAAGCACACTTCAGATACTCAAGGTCCTCGAGATGCTTCACGCTTTGAAATTTCACCGATATCTGTTACGGTTCTTCAACAAAACGTTCACATGTAACAGGTTTATCTCTCATTCAGAACAATGGAAACCTTTGATCTCTGGACACGTCGTAAGCTCAAATATAAACACCTGTGTCATGGAACACGATGATGTCATAACTCCAACTGACATGCTCAGAGCAGCAGACTTCAGATAATGGTTAATGGTCCTGCCCTCAACAGCTCTACGTCAATTATGGGGTGTCATCATATGCCGTTTCCATGGAAACTAATCCCTCGCCATAAAAGACGATGTCGCTTTACATTAACTCCTATGAAAATATTCAAAAAGTGCTCAAACTTTACATGTGTGCTAACAGTCCAGCTGTGACGACATCTACGTGAGAGTTTTGAGATTTCTTCAAATGCCGTTGCCATGGTAACACAAGGCTCGCCATGAAAAACGGTTCTCTCATAACTTCAGTGAAAATGCTCCAAACGGCCCAAAACTTCACAGGTTTGGTAACGATGCAGCCATCAACGCATCTAAGCGTATTATGGGATGTCATCAAATGCCGTTGGCATGGCGACAGATCATACACCATCAAGTTAGTTCAAAAGTTTGCCGTTCAAATATTCTGCTGCTTTTCCAAGCCTTTTTACTTTCTTTTCTTCTCTCATCACACATTCAAGCCCCCAGTGGTCATGTATCATTTCAATCTAAATTCTTCACTTTCTTCTTACACATTACATTTCAGCATAGCAGTTTAGCGTCAGCTTTTCAGCATAAAGCATTCCCACTAGCAATTTCTTCAGGAATTGCATTCTCTAGTTACAATTATTGTACAAAATGGTATAAGAATGCAAACTTAAATTGATTATAGTCTATTATCAATTCAGGTTAAGAAACTAGTGTTGCTTGCATCCTATTTTAAAGGCATTTCTTTTTATACTCTACTAAAATGCAACAAAAAAAGGGTTTGATTCTATTAATTTTGTCTTTTTTATTGCACTTTGGCAGCAGATTCCTGTGTAGCTTCAGATCTGAGTTGTCTTATTAGTAAGCCTAATTTATACTTTTGTAGCAACACTATTTTCATATACATGTAATGGCAAAGAAAGGGTTCAGAGTCTTTTCTTTTTTTCCTGTGTCATATGTGGCAGCACTGTTCAATGTTTCTTGAAAACATGACCCACTGTAGTTTGTGACGTGTGAATAAACTCCAACTCTGTATCAACAACACTGTTGTGTAACTTCAGTTAAATACTTGTATGTGTGTAGATTAGAAAGAGGTAAGATAAAGGATCTGCAGTATTTTATGAAGTATTAATCGTACAAAGGTCAGTTTTATACAAGTAGAAGTGTGTGTTTACCTGGTAGTAGGCTGTCAGCAATGGCTACGCCTCTCTAGTTGGACTGGTAGATCTCGGCAGACTGGCAACTTTAAAAGTAGCTCTCGGTTCAAAAAAGGTTGGGCACACTGTAGGGCATTACATTGGATGAGGAACATTTTACCTGACACTATCAAGCTTAACTGATGTGTGTCCCACATGTGTGAACGTGTGTGTGTTTGTTGGTTCCCAGAAACGGAGAGAGCGGGAGATGCAGCAGCAGATGGAGAGTCGAGACGAGGAGACTCTGGAGCTGAAGGAGACGTACAGTTCTCTGCAGCAGGAGGTCGACATCAAAACCAAGAAGCTGAAGAAGGTAGCAGCTCCAATCTTTCATGGCTGTCCTGCTTCTTTTAGCTGTTAACAATCAATACATAGTACATAAAAGGAGCACTTCTTGTAATGGTACCGCATGGCTATAAAGTTTTAAAAGCCTGGTGCTCAGAACTTGTGAGGCTTTATATATCTGGTGATAAAATGCTTTGCAAGTGTATATATATAAAATCAAGCAAGAATACCCCATACCCCATTTGTTGCTTTATTTGGATATTCCATTTTTAAGGCTGAATTAATTGACCAAGGCTGAATATTATAAAATACTTTTTCCATCATGGTTAATGGACCCTGGCTTCCTGTCTCCTTCTCTGTCCTCCAGCTGTTTGCCAAGCTGCAGGCAGTGAAGGCAGAGATCCAAGACATCCAGGAGGCGCACATCAACGAGCGGCAGGATCTGGAACAGACCCAGAACGAGCTCACCCGAGACCTCAAACTCAAGTACGCAGTCTGCATATCACTAGGGCTGCCCTCGACTAAAGATTTTTCTCGTCGACCAATAGTCGTCAATTAAGGCGATTAGTCGACTAATCGTCGCACGTTTATGATACATTATGATTATAAATATATATACTTTAAAAAAAAAAAAATGTCTCTCCCAAAAATGGTTTCAGTTTCAAAGGCTGATAAAGAGCGTTATTATAACAGCATGGTACGTTGTGCTTCACATAAAATATAAAATAAAACTGTAATAATGAACCTTTGAAATATAAATGAAATGTAGAGAGCGCATGAGAGTCACAGCGCACGGACGCAGCGGTATACATGAAAGCTTTATCGTTTTCTGAGGTCAGAATGATTATATTGTAGCGTCTCGCTATAGGAACACAGGGAGGCTTTGTATGTCTTTTATCCGGGAGTTTATTAATAATCAGAATCAGAATACCTTTATTAGTCCCACAGAGGGGAAATGTACGTTGTTACGTTTGTATAACGATCACAGGTTAACCACGCCAAAATAATGAAATAACTCCGTTAAATCCTCACTCACATACTCCGTCAGCTCTCTCGTAGCATTCCCCGGCTCTCTCTCTAGGAACCTCTCTCTTCACTACTCCGTGTTTTGTTATGAAGCCGGCATTCAGGAAGCTGCGCTGTGATGGTGTGGATATGGAGGAGACTTTTTGCCTTAGTAGTTTGCATGTCACCTTGTGGGACTCGTCCTTTACTCGCTCAGAAAGATCCACACTTAATGTCCAAATTAACTTAATGACCAGGCTCCGCTCTGAAAGAAGTCTGAGGGGGTTTCCGGCTGACGCTCATAGCACATGCAGCGCACGGATGGAGCTTTTTTTGTTTTTTTTATATATATAATCGACTAATGAAAAATTGCTCGATTAAGACTTTATTAGTAGACTAGGGGTTAGTCGACTATTAGGGGGCAGCCCTACATATCACACTGTCGGCCTGGCAGGAGGAAACTGAAGCAACTTACTCAATAAATCAATCGTTTGAAACAATATATAGATTTTAACATGATTTCATTGATTTGAAAATGATCGTATTACAGCGCTGAGACAACATAATACAGCTCCTCTGCGCACCAACGGCTGGAACTGCGGCGACAGCAACGTAACTTAAAATGTTCAGTTTCTGTTCCATTGACCAGTCTTTAAACACGGCCAGAGCCCATACTGTGTTTCCTTTAGTGTTTACTTCCTGTATGTCTTCTTCTGCTGTTCCCTTTAGTGTATTTACTTCCTGTCTGTCTTCTTCTGCCGTTCCCTTTAGTGTGTTTACTTCCTGTCTGTCTTCTTCTGCTGTTCCCTTTAGTGTGTTTACTTCCTGTCTGTCTTCTTCTGCCGTTCCCTTTAGTGTGTTTACTTCCTTTCTGTCTTCTTCTGCTGTTCCCTTTAGTGTGTTTACTTCCTGTCTGTCTTCTTCTGCCGTTCCCTTTAGTGTGTTTACTTCCTTTCTGTCTTCTTCTGCTGTTCCCTTTAGTGTGTTTACTTCCTGTCTGTCTTCTTCTGCTGTTCCCTTTAGTGTGTTTACTTCCTGTCTGTCTTCTTCTGCCGTTCCCTTTAGTGTGTTTACTTCCTTTCTGTCTTCTTCTGCCGTTCCCTTTAGTGTGTTTACTTCCTGTCTGTCTTCTTCTGCTGTTCCCTTTAGTGTGTTTACTTCCTGTCTGTCTTCTTCTGCCGTTCCCTTTAGTGTGTTTACTTCCTTTCTGTCTTCTTCTGCTGTTCCCTTTAGTGTGTTTACTTCCTGTCTGTCTTCTTCTGCCGTTCCCTTTAGTGTGTTTACTTCCTTTCTGTCTTCTTCTGCCGTTCCCTTTAGTGTGTTTACTTCCTTTCTGTCTTCTTCTGCTGTTCCCTTTAGTGTGTTTACTTCCTGTCTGTCTTCTTCTGCTGTTCCCTTTAGTGTGTTTACTTCCTGTATGTCTTCTTCTGCTGTTCCCTTTAGTGTGTTTACTTCCTGTCTGTCTTCTTCTGCTGTTCCCTTTAGTGTGTTTACTTCCTGTCTGTCTTCTTCTGCTGTTCCCTTTAGTGTGTTTACTTCCTGTATGTCTTCTTCTGCCGTTCCCTTTAGTGTTTACTTCCTGTCTTTCTTCTTTTGATGATTCCTTTGTCCTCCAGCTCTCTGTCTTTTAACCTCTTTCCTTCTGTTGTGCTGTTATCTTGTTCTCGTTGTCTTCGGGTGACTAAAGATTCCTAACCTTTACATTTGTTAAAGTGTATATTCAAAAAACGATGTCATGGTGTTTTCTGATGAAGGAAAAATATATTTTTTTGGGCCCCAGCTGAAGTTGACCAGACTTTTTTCCGTGGGTTTTTACGACTTAACATATAATCAATACTCCAATAATCAGAGCGTCCTAATCAACGGTCTGCTATTGAAAGAGAGCAGATCCCCCAATGTCCAAATTGACCAGAATAGAGCATTCAACGTGCTAACGTTTTAATATAGCATATAAAGGAGGAAATGGTTTTCCAGTAAGACTTCAGTTATACTGACACCAGATACCTTTTAAATATATTTGAATGATTAGTAAATGTGAAACGGAACTATTATTTGACACCACAGCCTTCCTTCTTTAGTGAAATAAATAATACACAGTCAGGCTAGAGTCACAGACTGATCTGCTGTGTGTCTATTCTGTTTCACCTGAACACTTCCTGTTCTGTCTGTGTGTGACTGCGTCTCATTGCTCCTTTGTTCGTCTTTTAGGCATCTGATCATCGAGAACTTCATTCCCTTAGAGGAGAAGAACAAAATAGTCCACAGGGCTTACTTTGATGAAGAGGATGAATACTGGAAAACAAAGCCAATCACACGTCTAGAGGAGTAAGTCACACAGAATCGTAACAAAACTCACCTTTCCCACCGTGCTGTATGCAGCGTCTCATCGATGTGTGTGTGTGTGTGTGTGTGGTGTGTGTGGTGTGTGTGTGGTGTGTCTGGTGTGTGTGTGTGTGTGGTGTGTGTGGTGTGTGTGTGTGTGTGTGTGGTGTGTGTGTGTGTGGTGTGTGTGTGTGTGTGTGTGTGTGTGTGTGTGTGTGTGTGGTGTGTGTGTGTGTGTGTGTGTGTGTGTGTGTGTGTGTGTGTGGTGTGTGTTGTGTGTGTGTGGTTGTGTGTGTGTGTGTGTGTGTGTGTGTGTGTGTGTGTGTGTGTGTGTTGTGTGTGTGTGTGTGTGTGTGTGTAGTGTGTGTGTGGGTGTGTGTGTGATGTGGTGTGTGTGTGTGTGTCAGTGACCAGCAGATGATGACCCGGCCTCTGTCTGCAGTGGGCTACAGGAGGCCTCTCAGTCACCACGCTCGCAAGTCCATGATGATGAGGCCGGACATGAGATACAAAGTAAGCTCCCCCCCTTTACACTGGTGACTGGGCATGTGTCCACACTTAAACCTCCAGAGAATATTTATATATGAATCACAGACACCTTGGTTCTGCACTGCTTATCCTCTTCCACTGAGCTTAGATGCACTGAAGACACCATACACAAAGCCAACAATGCATTGCAGAATTAACAGTGTAGCTATAAGAAGGCAAGTTTATTTAAACAGCCCATTTGAAAACAAGGTGATTCATAGTGCTTTACCAGACACATGAATAGCATTAAGATAAAGTGCAACAGAAACATGTTCTAAAAATGACATTTGAAAACAGTCATATAAAAGCCAAGAGAATAGAGATGAAATCAAGCTCAAATAGAATACCACAGGTTTAAAAAGGAAGACAAGTTACAGTGCGGTGTAAGATATGAGTACTTATTTGATTTAAGAAAAGGCAGCAGCAAAAAGGAAAGTCTCGAGAAAGTTCTGACACATGTAATCACTGATTTGTTACATGCACTAACTAAGTTCTTGCATTGGACCATAATGCCCTGGGGATGTGTCTGTTTTGGGCATTGTATTTAAATACAACAATGAAGTAAATATGTATTGATCCATAAGGATTATAAAATGCACAGGATTAAAGAATGTACACTAGGTATCATGGTTAGGATTTCCCCAATTAAGCTAATATAAGGGATAGTTTGAATTGTTTGTATTGGGGTTGTATGAGGTACTTACCTAAAGACAGTGTATTATCCCTCTGTACAGTTTGGGGAAAGACATCTGAAAAAAACGGAATAAGTTCAATTGTATGTTCAATTTAGATTATTATTATTATTACCTTACAGTCAGACAGCCCTTTCTAACAGGAAACTAAAGCCGTTATCTCTGCTCTCTTCAGGTTCCATTTACAGAAACAGTCATTTGAGTTTGAGTTTAAGAACATGGGAGTTGCTGGCCTGCCTCGATGAGTTATATAGTTTGTGTTATTGTGTGACTTTGCTGGGCTGTGGTAGACCATCAGCTCCTGTGTTCTGTAAGCATGCATCATTTTCAATACTTAAATGCAATATGTGCATCTGTACGTATATGCTCAGTGTCAGTGGTGTTGAAACAGATGTTCCTCTCCATGCTCCCTGTATTGACTGGCTCCTGCTCTGTCTCCAGGCTGAGAACATCATGGTGCTGGACATGGACCTGCCTGCCCGCACCACTAAGGAGTACCAGGAGCCCGTTATCGCCCCCAAGGTGGCGGCGGCTCTGGAGAGCGCTCTGCGGGACGAGGATGAGATCCAGGTGGATGCCTCGGGCTTCCACAGCAGCTTGGGATCAACCCCCCCTGCCAGCGGCAGCCTCAAGAAGCCAAAGTCTGGGTAAGGAACACCGGCACCACCAGATCAATGAATGTTCATGTGCTATGACATGGTGACACTGGTCATTCACAGTTTCAAGATTCAGTGGCTTAATTGTCACAATAGCTACAGTGTAGATGGTGGCATTACAAATCAGTCCCAGGGAGGGTTGGGTACCAAAAACCGCTTCGGATTCCAACGGTATCGTTTAGAAATCTTAATTTTGGTTCTGATTATTGACTCATGAGGAAATGTATCTTGCCGCTTCCTGTACTGTTAGACGGGGAGGGGCGGGACATGGAGCGAGCACAGTACCAGGAGGAATAACAGTTGTGAGGACACTCTCTCTCTCACTCTCACTCTCTCTCTCTCTCTCTCTCTCTCTCTCTCTCTCTCTCTCTCTCTCTCACTCTCTCTCTCTCACTCTCACTCTCACTCTCTCTCTCACTCTCTCTCTCTCACTCTCACTGTCACTCTCTCACTGTCACTCTCTCACTCTCACTGTCACTCTCTCTTTCACTGTCACTCTCATTCTCTCTCACTCACTCTCTCTCACTGTCACTCAAATTCTCTCTCACTCTCTCTCTCGCTGTCACTCATTCTCTCTCACTGTCACTCTCTCTCTCACTCTCTCTCTCTCTCTCACTCTCTCTCTCTCTCACTCTCTCTCTCTCACTCTCACTGTCACTCTCTCACTGTCACTCTCATTCTCTCTCATTCTCTCTCACTCTCTCTCACTCTCTCTCTCTCACTCTCACTGTCACTCTCTCACTGTCACTCTCATTCTCTCTCTCTCACTCTCTCTCTCACTGTCACTCTCATTCTCTCTCTCTCACTCTCTCTCTCACTGTCACTCAAATTCTCTCTCACTCTCTCTCTCGCTGTCACTCATTCTCTCTCACTGTCACTCTCTCTCTCACTGTCACTCTCATTCTCTCTCACTCTCTCTCTCTCACTGTCACTCTCATTCTCTCTCACTCTCTCTCTCTCACTGTCACTCTCATTCTCTCTCACTCTCTCTCTCTCACTGTCACTCAAATTCTCTCTCACTCTCTCTCTCGCTGTCACTCTCATTCTCTCTCACTCTCTCTCTCTCACTGTCACTCATTCTCTCTCACTATCACTCTCTCTCTCACTCTCTCACTGTCACTCTCTCTTTCTCACACTCTCTCTTTCTCACTCTCTCTCACTGTCACTCTCACTCTCATTGTAGTAATATGTATTTACATACTACTGCTCATTGTAGTAATATGTATTTCATTCTTGAGATCATAGATCTCTTTTTCAAGGGAGACCTGCATTTACATACTACAATGAGCAACACTGATCTTTTCAGTGTTGAAAGAAGTTCTCAGATGACCTACAGGGTTTCCCACACATAGAATATACTTGGGCGGGCCGCCCAGGTATATTAACGGCCTCCCAAGTATATTTCGACACCCATTTATTTATTTTTTTAATTTATTTTTTATAATAATAAATAAAAAAATAAAAATGTTCGTCTGCGACCACGACGCCATCTGCGATCGATTAACTTGTGGACAATGATCCCTCGCTCTACGCCTCCTGTACTCAGTCCCGGACTGGCCATCATACAGATCATAAATCAAAGCCCTTGATTGGTCTCTGTGTGTCATTCAAGCTCGGGATAACCTCAGCTCAGGTGAGGTAAAGGACTCTCTGAGTGTTTAGATAGTTAACTTAGTCTAAGTTCTCAGTGGGTCTCAAACGGTTTGGTCACCATTTATGTAAACACATATTTCCATTTGAGGGGGTAGTGATTAGTAAAATATGCATGAATACAAAATAAAAAAAGTTAACTAGGGGAAAAAAGGTAAGATACACTTTATGATTATTGAAATGTATACAGTTCTGTTTCATATAGGTGTTCCCATAGATCTAGTCTCTTTATTTGCCCCTCAAAGTGCACCAGATTGATGCATTTAACTCCAAAATAAAATAAAAAAATCTTAGCGGGGGAGCATGCCCCCGGACCCCCCTAGAGGATTTGAGGTCCACCCCTACTTAAAATCACATGGATAGGTTCCTAAATACATTTACCATTTAAAAAAAAAAAAAAAAAAAAAAAAAAAAAAAAAAATAGTAACCAAGTCCATGTGTTTATTTGTGGGTAGTAGATTTAAACTATAGGGCTATCACTATGGGCCCTGCCTGTACCTGTTCGCTATGCCATGGCGTGAAGGGTCTGCTAACAAGCGACCAACAGAAAGGTTCATGTTAATGTTGTTGCACGTCACAAAGGCACGTCACCTCAAACCCCCCCCCCCCCCCCCCGCTACTAGCACCCCCCAAGTATATTTCAGATCTGTGGGAAACACTGACCTATTTAGGTGGACTGTAAACCGATGAACGGCACATAGATAATATATGTTATGACAACAAGCCTTTGAATCTTGAATCTATATAAGGTGATTTGGGTAGAAATCCTATCATTCAGAGAATAATAATGTAACCTTATTATGTGCAGGCTGTTCAACTTGAACTGTTATTCCAGTAATGTGATTAACCCCTGCTCTCTGTCACTCAGTCGACCCAGATCAGTAAAGAAGTCGAGCACCCCCACCTCTCCGTTCAGCCCCTCCAGTCCAGGATCCCAGCTTTACCCACAGTCCCGCGGTCTGGTGCCCAAGTGACATCATCCACAGCTCAAAGCACCAACCTCTCCGGTGCACCTTTCACTTTGGGAGAAAGAATGATAGAATATGGGATTCTGCAAAAAACGTTAAAGACTATTGCTGCTTTGTAAGTTTGAACTGTAACCACACCACTATGAGCTGCTGCCCCCCCCCCCCCCCCCCCCCCCCCGAGAGGAACAGCAGCAACGCATGAAGCCTCACATCACTAACTGCTTTACGCCTCTGAAGTCTTATATATCAGTCACAATGTTCTTAATGTAGAGACAAATGGACCTGTGCACTTCTTCTCCCTACCTTCCCAGGTGTGTGTTGGGTGTTGTAGTCCTCTCTTACTGTATGTGTGGACATTAGTGCAAAGCATTGTGGGGTTAACGTACAGACAACGTGTCCACATATCTGTGTGTCTTCACTTGGTGTACGTCAAACTGTGCTGTCTTCTATTGTCAGAGCTCTGATAATGGAACATGTCATGTATGTGTTTTTGTCTTAAAGGAACACGTCAACATTTATGGGAAAAAAGTGTATTTGCGGAGTTAGACGGGACAAAGAATAATTACATTAGAGACAATACGCCTGTTTGGCAGTCTCGCTCATGGAGACGGCAAAAGTCAAGAGGCTCACAAAAAGCAGAACATGTTGTTTTCAAATATCTGTTTATTAGATGAAACAATTGAGGTTTTAATGATCAAATAGAAGGTGGATAGAGCTAAGTGCTAGCCCTTCTTCTCTCTAATCACAAATGAGCGGTTTACCTAAAATGTTGAGTTGATTCTTTCACTGTGTGATTGTAAATGGGGGGGGGGACATCCACACCCCCCCTGTGGACACTTTCTGAGATTCAGGACATGGGAGCTGGCTGAGCAGATCAAGGCCTTCCTCTCCTCTCTGGGAGTGTGCCTCAGATTCATCAGGGTTCCACGGTGCCTTAATGTGTCCTTCATCTCGGCTCCTTTTATTTCAGGTGTGCACACTTTGTTCTTCTCGGCCTGTGTGTGTTTTTATCTACTCATTCATTCCAGCGTCAGGAGATTGTTGTTAGCATAGCATTGCTGTTGGAAAGGGGTGCACTCATGACAGCAGTCAGCCTCTCCATGACTCTGGGAGGGGGCCACACTCCCTCTGTTTGTTTTGACCTCATTGACCTCCATCTAACTCTAAAGATGCTTTTCTCAGTACTGTGGTGGAAACACTATGGATGTCTTCATAATACACAAATCATTCCGTTTGTTTGCCTGCAGGTGGACAATATGCAGATTAACTGTGACTGTGAGGCTGCTGCTGTGCACGGTTCACTTCCCACCTCACATTTCAACAGGCCTGGATCATATGGCAAAGAAACCTTCACAAATACTTGTTCAGTTGACAGTGTTTGTTTAAAGAAATACTTCACCCACATAATCATGATGACTCACCCTGTTACCTTGGCGAAAAGTCAACTGCCTCCTTCCTGAACGTAGAGAAAACAGAGAAGTCTTGATGAATTGAAGTAAATGGGACCACGTTTAACATGAGTCCAATTATATGAAAACATACTCTCACTCAACCAGTGAAGTATCATACAAGTCTAATGTATCCAGTTGTATGCTCACTACTTCACACATGCATGCATTGTCACTAATACCTTACTTTTTTATACACTTTGGCATACAACGTTTCACAGATGTCTTCCTATAGTTTTGCTGTTAAACTCGGCACCCATTCACTTCAATCCTTTAAGACCTTTCTCCAAAATCAAGTTTTCACCCAAGGTAACGGGGTGAGTAGGCTAACTGTAAAGATGAGAATTGTGTGGGTAAAGTATTTCTTTAAGAGCCACCCTGGTTATAAAAAATAGAAACTTAAACTAAAGATTATTTGTTGCTGTTTGACCTTTGGCTGCACACCGTATGTATTTAGATATGTAATAATGAGTATAGACTTGTTGATAGGCAATCCTCAGTCACTTTTGCAGATATATAAAATAAATTCTAAAATGGGATCCCATATTGATAAAAATCTAACTTATAATCTTTCATTTTTATATACAGATGTAGATATAATTTTCTATTCAGTTTGCTTCTTTAATAGATATTTGTTTTATTTTTTCAGCTTTGTAATTTAATGTTGACATTTAATTTGTTGTGTCATACATGTGTCTTCTTTTGTATTCAGCCAGGTACAGGCTTTGTTTGTCTGTGTATACATTTAGGAATATATGTTCTGCATATGGAAAGTGAAAGTGTGGCTCATCTGTGAGACGCTGAGAGCACATGGATGTTCGTCACAGTTCTTTTATGTCTACTGTTCATTTAACCTCACAAACATAATCATTAGAATAAGGCTTAACTGTTGTGACTGACATTGCAATGAATGCAGTATACCTGCCGCATGACTTTAGCAAGCTAGAGTCAACCCTTTGGTTGTGGCATTTTCATAATTCATAGGAATTTGGTAAGCTGAATGTGAAATATATCCCATAGCTGCATCACTGGATCCAAACTCCATCAGAAGACTGGTGTTTTGAGAGGACCATGATGCTCCTCTCTGAGGCCGGCCATGTCTATACCTTGTTTAGTTTCTTCTGATTATTAAAGACAATTCAATCATATGTTGTATGTCCTGTCTCTTTAGGTACTTTTACCATGTGAAATGATTCAACCTATTTACTTATACGGTTTCTCGAGCAGTTTGAGATGTGACACTTTGTAGAAAAATGAGTTTGCTTTAAAGGGACCGGAGAACAAATAAATAAATACATATTTCTCCTCTTTTCTTTTTTTTGTAGGGCTATAAAGAGGAATATGTGTTTTTGATGTCGCACCTCTTCTAATAGATAGGTTTAGTGTCACAAACACTGACAGAATGCTGAGAATCATTTCTTTGTGTAAAAGAAAAAAACACTTAAAGAATGAAGTTAGGGGCGATATTCTTGCACATTTTTTCAACGTGACTTTTTTCATATTTTGAAACATACTTTTAAATATTGACATTCTATTTTTTGATTTAAAAAAAATATTTTCAACATACTCAAATGATTTTTTTTAAATAATTGTAGACATTTTGTACTATGACTTTTTTCATTATATTTTCAACAAACTATTCTATGACTTTTTGTGACATACTTTAATTTTCATATTTACAACATACTATAATATAACTGTATCCACATGTTTGACATACTATACTGTTGCAATCTTTTTTGACATTCTGCATTATGATCCTTTAGATAATATGTTATATATATATATATATATTATTTTCTCTTTCCAGTGTTTCCTGGGACATTCTGTATGAAGCACTATCAGTGCCAGTGGACAGCAGCCGTTAGCTAATCACATTCCATTTGCAGCTGGAATCTTTTTTATATCGCACTTTATTAACAGCAGTCAATAGTACAGCTCCATTTTTTGCAGACATTATTCAGATACAAACTGTCCAATGGGATTATTTCTAAGCGTTACATGAATAACCACTCATTTCAGTGGTAATGAAGCAAAACTAATTATTGGTCTTCAGACTTCCTGTCCATCCCGTTTCCTCTCCAGAATTGAGTCCATGCAACAGAAGTTTGGCACAGAGGGGAGCAGAGAGTTTGGTAGAAAAGCAAAAAGAACAAAGCGAGGATGCTCCATCCAGTGGCGTAACTATCGACGATGCAGCCGGTGCAACGCACCGGGTCCCAGAGCACACGTTTTATATATATTTGTTTAAATATTATTTTTTAATATATTTTTTTTGGGGCCCCAATGGCATTGACCGGTTCACGCAGTCTTCAAAGTAACCAAGCAACATAAATTAATTTGTCTGTCCAATGACCTTGCTCCCAAAGTTTCATGTCATGTGATACCTTGCGTTGACGAGCGAACCGTTTAAACAACCTGTACTGTACAGGTTAGCGGTGGTGACGTGAAGTCATGTGACCGTGCTGTAGTTCCTTTATAGCCCAACATTAGCCTCCTTTAGCTAAGCGGTGGTTCGGCTCTTAGCGGTGGTTCGGTAGCATTTTTTATAATGCTACAAGTTCGGTAGCATTATAAAAAAGTGTAATAGCTTGCATTTATAATGTACAGCAAACCAAAGCACAAGAGCAGCGCACAAAACAATATTTGCACCGGGGCCAATCACAACCTTGTTACGCCACTGGTTCCATCTAAATATAAACTACAACAGAAACGTGAGAGAAGATGCTTCTTCTACTTATCATGTGTTTATGATTCATATAACATGACATTTCATATGTACACAACACTTCAAGTCTGTTTAACTTCAAAAATCCAAATACAAGACAAAAAAAAAACATGACAGCACGGCAACGTAAAACCTGCACACTGTCAATCATCATAAACATTAGTTATGTTTTATCATGCTGGTTTATTTATGTGAATTGGAATATTAGTAGCTATGTGATCCTTTACGGTCATTCTCTTTTGGGTAAGAGAATATAATGAGATGTAAAGAAGCACTGAGACTTCTATTTGGATACACACGTTAGGATTGAGCTCAGAATCTTTTCCATAAGTCAGAAGAAGACTTAACTCATACGATCAAATATATGCATAGAAAAAACTGAAACTTCTTTTAATGGACAAAGCTCATAATAAATCTTGAAATGATGAGCAACACTTGGCCTTTGAGAAGGAGCTCGGTTAAATATTTAATGGAATCAACGCTCACCTTTTATTTGGGAATCAGTGGAACTATGTTGGTCACTAGCTGAAGCTGCGATATCATCTCAGAATACACATCCCTCACAAAGTATGTCTTCCTTTTCAAACTACACCCCTTCTTCATGAATACACACCACCTCATGCAGACCACCAGCTTCCACACAGTCAGTATGACCTCTAAACTGGGGCTGTCGATGGGAGGAGCCCCCTGTCTGAGGGACCCTCTGGGAAGCTGTTGTTATGCAGGGCTTGGTCAGGATATACAGAGCAAATTGGTAATGATTTGTGTATTTATATCTATAAGTGTTAGTGACTGTTTGGTTGTATTGCCCCTCCACCCTCCCCTCCTGGTCTATTTACCAGCTCATAGAGTCCTGCTGTGAACCCTGAAATGTGGAGTACCCCAAAGTGTTATGTTAGAAATGTATAGTAGGGTCCCCAGCACATAGAAATTGCCTGATGCTTAAAATGTCTTGGCCCATTTGGACAGTCTTGGAGTGATTTTGGAGGTTATTGAAGAAGGTTGAATCAACTCTGACATTTTCAGGATAAACAATTGCAGTTTTGGGTCCTCCAAAACTTGAAAATCCGGAGTACAAATATCACCAGTTTGTGGTTAAAACTGCAATTTTTGATCCTGAAAATGTCAGAAATTGATTCAACATCCTCAACAACCTCCAGAACCACTCCAACATTGTCCAAATGGGCCAAGACCATTTTTTGCTATTGTCTGCATATGCTAATTGACACAATTTATGCTAATGATGCTAATACCCAACATCTGCAGGTTAGCATCTGCAGGTTAGCATCTGTCAGTTTCTGTGTGCTGGGGACATGTACTTTACATTTCTAACATAAAACTTTGGGGAACTCAACATTTCTGGGTTCAAAGTGCTGGCAAGTAGACTAAACCCCCCCCCCCCCCCCTCTCCACTGGACAAATTGACCTCTTTACAATGTCAGGGAATGAATGGAGTAAAGAACAGCGGGGAACAGAGGGAGGGGAAGAGAATGGATGATGGAGGTGAGCGGGACACCGGGGGTCAGTAAGGGGTCCTGCCCGGTACAGGAGGTGATGTTGATCCTCTTCTCTTTACGATGTGGCCCCCGGACCCTCACTTCTCTCTGTAGTACAGCAGGTACATCTTGAGGGGCTCGGGCAGCGGCAGGCCGAGGATCCTCTCTCTTAGGAGGTTGACGGGGGGCTGGGGTCGCAGCAGCTCCCCGGTCTCCTTCTCCTCTTCCTCCCCTTCCTGCTGCTCCTCCTCCTCGTCCTCTTCCTCCACAGTCTCCTCCTCCTCCACCACGGCCCCCGCTCCTCTCCCCGCTCCTCTCCCCGCTCCTCTCCCCGCTCCTCTCCCCGCCCTCCTGCTCCCTCTCATCTGCTGCCGGGCCTCCCTCTCTCCCGCCTCCTCCTCGGCTCGTCCCCCCTGGTTGTTGTTGTTGTCCAGGGGGGTGGGGGCGATGCCGCTGCTGGCCACCACTTGCCTGGTGGCCAGGACCAGCGCGTTGCAGTGGCGCCGGTGGACGCGCCTGCGCTTGAAGCGGGGGCCGTACTTATGGAGCCCAGCGACCGCCAGGCCCCTGCCCACGGAGAACGAGGACCCTCTGCCGCGTGATAGGCTGTCCCCCCCGTCCGTGGTCACTCTCAGGGTGTGGCGGATGCAGATACGAGCCAGCTCCTGCAACGTGCGTACCTCGTACTTGGCTGGGAAAGAAAATAGATATTAGAAACAAGGTTTAATAGAACAAATGTAGACCTTAACTCACTCCATCAATCCCTCTACTGAGGTGAATATATGCAGCCAACACAGTGGATATTTCTGAGCTCTCGCCCCATAAATGAAGGCATTAACCAATCACGTTGTGCGGAACAAACGTACATTGTAGTTATGTGGATATGAGTTGGGATTATGTTTTATAAAACAACTACAATATACGGCTCTAAAATCTGAACCATGATGGCGAAACTTTATCAGTCCTGTGGCAATGTACAAAGACCGTGCAATAACTGGTCTACTGTTTCCTTTCTTTCCTTTCACACCACAGCCCGAGAAATATACATTGCCTAACTGTAGGTTACTGAAATCAATTAGAGCGTTTTGCAAAAAGGAAACTCTGAAATAGAGAATGATCCATCATCAATCCATTATCAGAAGCAGGATGTCTTTATTAGTCCCCCAGCGGAGAAGGTTACAGTGTGGAATAGTAGGTAAAAAAGGCAAGAAATAAGAGTAAACTAACATATTAAATATAGAGAAAGCATAATTTGATCTCCGAAGAATCCGCTAGCATGAACATATTTTAATATTTTATTAAACAGTTGCATCGCATGTGCTACACATAGTTTTGATGGTGAGTATTTTACTTTTCAACAACGTCTCTTCTTTACGCACCGATGGGTAAGGTCTTCAGACCAGTCCAGTCTATGCTTAAGACATATACTCTATGTATCAATAGTCATACTAGTATTTCCATATTTAAATAACGGTGAAGAGGAGACTCACGCAGTGGGACAGTCTTGGGTTTTCCATTGGTGCTGTGTTTGGGCAGCGCCAGAGGGGCGAAGGACACAGAGATGATCTTTTTGGTCTCCCAGCTGTTCGGCCCTGTGCGGGTGATCTTGGTCAGCTGCAGGAAACACAACAGGAAGTCAATACAGTCAGTGTGTATTCAGAGGACGGTGCTGTGTGCTATTGTCTTCTCTTGCTCACAGTCAGAACTTCAAAAAGCTACTCTCTATATTTAGTCCAAATTGTCCAAAGAGTGGTCAATTTGTGTTAATGACATATACTACGTCAATTCATCCCATAATAAAAGTGTCAAAAGAAAATATTGGAAAAGCTTTGGAGATCATCTCCATGAAAACTCCACAGTTACAAGGTCAAATGTCATTATACAAAACCACAAACACTGATCCAAGACAACATTTATTGACTCTTAATAAAAACACAAATGAGTGTACAATCATGAATCAATATGGACACAAATATCCGTTAGTAGAACAATATACCTGCTTTTTTACATTGAAACGCAGTGTGTGACATTTCAAAATTGGGTTATGACATGATTGTATTCGTTCATTATGTATATGTTTTTATAGAGCAGCCTTACCCAGTAGTTAGTGTTAAATGAGTCATGTGGTGCCTATAATCGCTAAACAGAGAAGCAGTTTGCACTGTGCTGAGTCTCTGTGGCAGAACACCCACCTTCTCCTCCAGAGGCATCACCAGGATGCCCCCCACCTTCAGCAGGTTCTTCATGTAGTCCTCATGCTCCTTCTGCACCCCCGCCCCACAGTACACCCGGTCGTACTGACGGCTCTCCGGAGGAACCTCCAGACAGTTCCCCACCACGAAGGAGGGCTCACAGAACTCAAACCTGCACAGAGACAGGAGAATGAACAAAGAGTTATACAAGGAAAGAATAAACTGAACAAATATGCTGTCAACTCTGACAGATTTTAGACACGTACTTGTCGAAGCTGTCGCTTGTTTTGATGAAGGAGTCGAGCTTCTGGCACGCATACTCAATCACATCAGCATGCAGCTCGATCCCATGGTTCACTCCGAAGGGTCCTGCAACAGGTGGAACAGCTCAGTTTGAAATAAGACACATTAACGTGGATTCCAAACACAGTAAATGTGACGATGACATAACCTGCGTTAATGAAGACCAGTGGGAACATCCATACACCTTTATGAAATGTCTTTAAATGTGGCCCTGAGCTCATTAAACGCAAAGTGGACGGCAGCAGAAGCTGTTTTAATGTCAGCAATAGTCCTATAACTACCGATAAATCAACTGGACTTTGAGGATCCAAAAAATGCAATTCTAAAAGTCTGAATCTGATGAAGACAGGCTCGCTTTTCACTGAAATATTGTCTCCGATATTCTTTTGACTTTTTGTAAAAGAAAAATGTGTATTCAGTTCAGACCTCGCTCATTGATTAAATGTCATCTCAATGTCTCTATAGATTTTTTTTAAACCAGATTTCACAGTTTTTCCCTTTTAATAATTTTCAACAATCTGTAGAATTTTTTTGGGAACTTTTTATGCTTTTTTTTTTTTATTGTCAAAGCATTCATAAACTCATCTCTTCCAGTTCACACACCTTCATGCTGCCACATGTTTACTGAACATCTCTTCCCACATACCCAGTATGAGGCCGACCATGGTGCTGAGGTACCCGGTGCCACTTCCCAGGTTGAGGAAGGAGAGTCCGGGGCAGAGGTCCAGAGCCTCCATCACCTCAGAGTAGATACAGGGAGCCGACAGGTGGATGTTCCCATGCCGCCACGCCAAGTCCTAACAACACCAAGCATTCATTATAACCAAAAATCTCTCAGACTATAAAACATTACAAATGCACCCAAAAAACAAAACAAATATCCAGGGACTAATAACAACAACATGTCCCTCCTCCCGGCTCTCTCCAAACCCTGTCATCACCCAGCTGTGCTCTCTCTGGAGCCAGTGTGCTCACCTTGTAGGCGTTGTCCCGGTACTCGTCCAGGTAATAGTCAGCGCGGTCGATGGCTCTGAAGGCCCGCTCCACCAGGTCTGAGCGGATGTAGTACGCCTCCTTCAGGTTGTCAATCAAGTCGTCATTGTCCTCTCCGGCACTGACAGCTCCGCCCATGTTGACTGAAGGCAGAGAGGAACAGGCTGTTTACCATCACAAATAACTTCACGACTTGAAGTGGTGTATGTGAGGACTGCAGGAAGCATTGCTGCACACTGGGGTCAAAGCTGGACACGTCTACTAACACTTCTATACTTCTGCTCTCTCAGACTGACTTTTCAAAGCCAAAATACTTTGTGTGTTCTTTCATGATTTATATAAAAGAAAGCAGAAAGCTGCCAAAACACCCACCTCATATTGAACTACATCTGAACCAATTCATCCATTTGGGAAAATATAATGTTTAAAACTTAAGTATAAATGCTGAATGAAGCAGTTTACGGCTGAAATTCAGTGTTCCCCTGGCTACGCTTGTTTCTCTAATAACTTACGACACAGACACAAATCGACTTGAATCCATTCTCTCGTTAATATATCTTAGAAAACAACTAAGATCTAAGAACTGTCTGGTCAAAATGTGGCTTCAAACTCAATCAAAAAATCAATTAAAGAAAGTTTCTGGAAGACAATGCTGACTCATGCTCAAAGGGGAGACAACACCGTTACAGGAGACAACATTTACACATGACAGATATTAGAAACATTTGAGAAAATGGAAGTATACAATAGGGCTGTGCAATTAATCGTATTTTAATCGCAATTACGATTTTGGCCTGCCACAATTACGAAAAACAACAATCGGAAAAAACAATTATTTAGCTTTGCTAGGTTGTGACAGTGCACTGCAACATATTTGATCTAATTAATTTTGGTCTAATTTATTTGTATTTATCATATTTATATATGTTTAGTAGCTTGTGGAAGTGCGCTCCAAAATATTTGCTGATCTTGTTTATTGGTATTTATTATTATTTTGATATTATTTATTTAAATGTATCATTTATTTTTGTATTGGTTTTTCAGTTGAATTATACGTTCAGGGTAATCAACAGTTAAAAAGATACTGTTCAAATTATTATTTTTATTTGTTTTAAAGTTCAATAAATGGATTTTTTCAAAGTCAATGAATAATCGTATTTAATAATCGTGATATCAATTATTGACCCAAATAATCTTGATTATGATTTTTGCCATAATCACACAGCCCTAGTATACAATTCAACAAACTATAGAAAAAAGGGAGGCCTGTAGAGGCCTAATGTAGGGGGGGGGGGGCGGGCTGAGGCCGGGCAGTGGTTCAGGGCCGTGTTAAAAACAACACCAAGGAGATCAGAGGGCAGCCAAATGCTGCCCATGGTCATGAGGTAATAAAAGAACAAAGGGGGGGGGGTGTCATTTACATATTCCTGCACCTCCGCCTTTCAAGCCTCTTGTGTTGAGATGAAGAGGATGTGTTTCAGCCACAGAATCAACAAAGCAACCAACAGCAGTTGTTACAAGACAGTACATCTACAATCTTTCCCCTCTGAAGATGATATATTATATATACAGTGGTGGAGAGCAACTAAGTACATTTACTCAAGTAGTTTCAGGTGCTTTACTTGTGTATTTACATTTCATGCTACATTAAACTTCTACTCCAGTACATTCTGGAGGTAAATATTGTGCTTTATACTCCATTACATCAGTAAATATTAAGAGTTATTATTATCAGTTAATACATGATGATATACTATTATGGATTAAGAACGTATAAAAACGTTAAAGAAATTAGCTCCAACTGTATAAATTGCAATGATGAACACAATAATGGACTAAAAGTATAATCCTGTGATATTATATATATAATTCTGAAAATGGCCATTCTGACCTATGAGTATTTGTACGTTTTGGTACTTTAAGTACTAAGTTTGCATGCTAATACTAAAGTGTTGAATGCAGGCCTTCTACTCGTATCACTTATGTGCAATATATAAATATATATATATACACACAAGGTTCAAGGTTCAAGGTTCTTTATTGTCAATCTGACATAGCTACAGAGTAATTATGTAGTTGAAAATCTTATGTCACAGGCTTCTCCAACAATGCAACATAATAATATAACATAATAACAATAAGAGCAAGAGCAATACAAAAAGAATAATAGTTATAAAATAAAATAAAATAAAGTGATGATGTGGAATAGTGCAGTACGAGTCTATATACAAGTTATTGGAATGATATATATATATATATATATGTTAGGTATTAGATACATACTACTGAGTAGCAGATGAATGTTTGAAGTTGTTTCAACAGTTCAATTTTTTAACAGTCTCACTGCCCGCGGGAAGAAACTGTCTCCGAATCTTCTTGTCCTTGCCAGGATGCTGCGGTAACGTCTGCCAGACGGCAACAGCAAGAACAGTTTGTGGCTGGGGTGATGGGGGTCTTTGATAATCCGTAGTGATTTCTTCCTGAGCCGCTGGGAGTAAAGGTCCTCCATGGACACCGCTGTATAATTATTGTTTTTACTGGCTGCTCTCTCGTAGTTAGCCAATTCAACCACTGTACCAGATCTGTAATACCTGTGCAATATATACTTTTACTACTGTTATCTGGAATCTGCAATCACACTACAGTACATTACATTACATGTCATTTGTTAAACGCTTTTATCCAAAGCGACTTCCACTAAGCCACAGCCTACATGCTACACTTATTTGTAAAGATAATACTTTTACTGTTTGTTTTCCACCTGGATGTGTATTTTTGTCAATTGTAATATGTGTGACTTCTATTTTTATCTTTAATATATGATATATGCCTCTTACTTAATATTTGATATGTTTGGCTCCTCGCTTTAGCTGTAACAACGTATCTGTCCCCTCAGTGGAAGGTATTCTGGTTGAGTTTGTTAGCCTAACCACACGAGGGCGCAGCTCCCCGGACACTAAGCGCTTTAGGCTAGAAGGGTTCCACACTTCCTGCAGAAACACTGCTGCCATTTGAAGATTCGTAAATCATCTGCACATTCAATAAAAAGCTGTCGCGTGCATTATTTCAGTGACAGGGTTCACGGGGACAGTAAAGTCCCGCAGGTTGGATTCCCGCACAACGCACGGGCTGCTGCTGCACGCGGCTGCTGTTTGCGCCACTCGGGGATCCCAATTCGACTAACACTCAAATTCAAGCACTGTTAGTCAAACTATCGTCTCGTATGAACAACTAAAAGTGAATATTACATCTAAAACAGAATGTCACGCGGTGGCAAGGTCGACACAAACAGAAATAACCGCATTCTCTTCGCTGGAGGAGAAAGAGCGAGAGCAGAATGATAAGAGCTAGCTGCTGCTGGGTAGAGACAAACAGCTAGCTCTGACTGAGCCTCCATGGTCAAATATGCTAACGCTAATGTTATACCTTGTGAAAACGCAGACTGGTGTTTTCTGAAGCCGCGGGTTTCCGTGTGTTCAGCCTTTTGTTGTTGTGGAGATCCAGGGAGAAACACACCACTGCTGCCTGGATGTAAACATTCGGCCAGCTGACGTCAGACGCACTGTACGTAACGTAACGGCGGAGGAGCCTACATTGTGCACAGAGCAGGAAGTGGAGCACTGAAGATATTAAATGGGAGTCTATCAGGATGTTTTATATATTTGTTTATCTTGTTAAGCAGGTCATATTCATGTTTAGAGTCTATTTGTTGGTCTATTTTAATAAATAAATACAAATCTTTATATTATAATGTTTTGTCTTTTATTGCACATTTTGACTTTAGCTTATTATGTTTGTATAACTACTGTGATTCTTTTATTTATTTCATTCTCAACCCAATTTGCCTTGGATAAATAAAGTATTATATTTTAGATTCTAATTCTGATTTAATCATTTTGAAAAGAATAATACTCTTTATCTGCCTTTAAGCTAAGCCCCTGTCTCTGCTCTAAAGTCTCTAAGCTAGTCCAGTGACAGATGTTGGATTTAACCAATGCACCTCCCTTGCTCTATAAAAGTTATACCATTTTCTCTAAAGTCAATACAGGAAAGAACATGTCAGAATCAACAAACTGCCATATTCATATTTTTTTGCAGGATCACTATGTCTTGTAACCAAATACTGTCCCGATAATCACTAATTATTCATTTATGTTACACTTCAAATGTAGGATAATGTACATTACACCCCTATGGTTTTTTAATGGAGAAGAACACAACTCAAACATTGAATTGTTTTCTGTATGTGGGATTTTATTTTTTCACAGTGTGTGATATTTCAAAGATAACAATATCATTCATTTAGATTCCTTATTAGTTTTTTGAGTACTGTACTTTATTATAGACTTATTATTCAGGCAGAGTTTGAACTTCCAAAAAAAAAAAAAAGGGAACTCTGCCTAAATGCCTGCCATATGCATTAGACAGAAAACACTTTATACATTAAAAAGCCAAAATGCAATAAGAAATGCATATAGTGTTGTGGAGAACTATGTATTTTAGAGTTTCACAACGTGTTTGAGAATAATGATTATTGTTTGAGGAGTGTGCCAAATCAAAATGTAGAGATCTCCAGAGAGACGTAAGTTCTATGATAAACACTGTACTGCTGATTACTCAACGCTCCAGCAGAGGTCAGTGCTGCCCAACATACAAACTACATGTAACAGCGCATTAACACACACTCAGGTCCCCCATTTTGTTCAGCCTGCAGTCAGGAAGAGTATGTTGTGAGTGTGTGTTCCTGCTGTGTGAATGTACAGTTCACCTCAAATACACACACACACACACACACACACACACACACACACACACACACACACACACACACACACACACACACACACACACACACACACACACACACACACACACACACACACACACACACACACACACACACACACACACACACACACACACACACAGAGGTGGGAAGTAAATAAGTACATTTACACAAGCACTGTACTGAAGTACAATTGTGAGGTACTTTACTTGAGTATTTCCATGTTATGCTACTTCTTATTTCTACTCCACTACAGTTCAGAGGTAAATCATGTACTTTTACTCCACTACATGTTTAATACCTTTAGTTCCTTCACAGATGTGGATTAATGATGTGAAATATAAAGTGAAGTAACATTTAGAATGCAGGCCTTTACTTTACCCACACAATTATAATGTGTTTATCATTTACTCACCTTGAATTCTTGTAAAAAACTGAATATAGCTTGGATGCCTCCTTAGTGAACACATTTTAAGAAAAAAGGAGTAAAAGAATCTTGATGAATTAAATGGGGGTCGAGTTAAACAACAAAGCAATATAAAAACATCTGTTCAAAAAAGATCATATCTGTTCAGTATAATCCATGTCCAGTCAATGCTCACTACCGACTTCCACTAAATGTGCACTAAAGCACTTTGAAATAAACAATTGTCTACTTGAACTCAAGTATAAAGTGTTCTGCATTAAATATTGCAGTTTATGCATGTTTCATCATGTTCCGTTCTTTATATAAAAGTCAAAAATAGTTAATTTTTAACTACATAATAGTCTTTTGGACTATTTTACACAATACTACCGCTTCACCAGATTCACTTTTCATTTGTCATATATTTACTTATATATATTGTGTATATACTGCATATTCTTGTTTGTACATTTATATTTATTGTATACATTTTATGATCTTATAATTAACAATATTTCTATATTTGCTCTTAATTCAAATGTAACTTAATGTGTTTGTGTATGCACCGTAGTACAGTACACCAAAGCAGATTTATTGTATGTGAAAATGGTCCCCACAAAAGAAGTACAAGAACACACACACACACACACACACACACACACACACACACAGATTGGACAGAGTCGTATTGTCTATGATTCTTTATTTTTGTTTTTCATAGAGAACATTTAAAATGGTTCATACCCCCACAATAACTGACATCACTTCTCTGGTTTTTAACACTGACACAGGAACAAGGGAACATGTACACAGGTACACAAACACACAGTCACAAACATCCCATCTACAGTGTTTACTCCCCCAACAGAAACAACTTAAAACAGAAACATCATGAGACCCCGAGACACACAGCCAAGGCCTGTCCCACTTTACAAAACGGTGCAGTAGTAAAGGAACGACCACATCTACAAAAGTAACAAAAATGACCATACAATCTATCAGGGTGGAAGTGCTTGTAATTTTGGAAGTTTTGTACTTTTTTAAAAGGATATCAATATCAATGCCTAGAAAATCACCAGTAAAAATAGCTCATCTCTGTAAAAATGTGCTAGCAGGACACCCCTTGGCTGTGGAATTATTTTCTTTGTCACAAAGTTTTTTTTTTTTTTTGCACTTTTTGTCTCCAATACAACAACAATAACACTGTTTCTTCTTAATACAAATATGTACAGAGACTTCCACATGTTTCAAAATAACGCCCTGCACACTGATGCATTATCTAGGGATGAAGATGATGAAGATGATGTTCTTCAGATTCCTTCACAGAAACTGTCCGTGCAGTTTGGTACCTGAATCCACACAATGATGAGATCACAGTTTCTTTAGCCTAACAGGAGTGTGTACTTTTGTATCTGTGGCACAACAGAATGCCCTCTACCTGCATGTGAAGACACATTTATGTCCCTAGATACACAGTAACCCCCCCCCCCCCAAAACCCCCGCCCCAAGATACCGACACACTGAAAAAACTTAAATGTTGACTATAATTAAATGTATTATGAGATTTCACAACACTGTATTAGGTTAGTTGTCAGCAATAATATTAAGTTTAAATTAAACATATTAGGTTCAACTTAATATTATTGCTTTCAACTAACCTAATACAGTGTTGTGAAATCTGTTGACATAAGACATTTCATTTAAGTCAACGGTTCAGTTTTTTCAGTGCAGTATTGTTAAGAGATCTAGATCCGGACCAGAACACTATTAGAACCAGGTTTGCCAAATGTAAACATACCATATGTTGAAATGAGTGGAGTGAGAAAGGCACACATGATAAGACCACACGGCTTGTAACTACAGCGGGGGGTGGGGGATGTCTGGAGGGGGGGGGGGGGCTTTTTGGTTTTGCTCAGCTCGATGAAAAGTGCCTCGACTAATCATCCCTATCTTTGAGTCAATTTCTACGTCAAAGTGTGACCAGAACCTGGACCTAACATGGAACCAGGATGAGAAGGTGTGCCCCCCCCCCCGCCCCACCTGCTACCCCCTTCCTAAAACACACCAGGTTTTGGTCTGGGCTGGCCTCCCTGAAAGTTTCATCATGTTAAGTTCATTTATATTCCGGCTGGAAACTGGGGCCCTGACCAGCCTGTTTTTAATTTCTTTGCTATTTAGAATAATCTGAATAAAGCTGCCCCCCCCCCCCCCATCACTCAGTACTCTCAGTAAATCAGAAACATAGAGTGCGTGGGCGCAGGACCGGCCGGAGGCTGCGTTTGCTTTCTCCGCTGACATTTTTCTGAAAATGCGATGCTTTCATGGCCTCAGTGTTATTCATTTACATACCTCAGTAGACAATTTCATCAAGCAGTTTAAAAGGGGTCATGCCATATCAAATAAGTTACGAGAATATTCACAGTCTTTAACACTCTTGGGTAGTATTCTCGTGCATTTTCAAGAGAGGAAGAATATACTACTTTGTTAACCAAATGCATCAAAATGATCTTTCCTGAGGAAAGGTTACACAAGACATGAGGAAGGGGAGGGCGGGTTTAAAAGTCATAAAAGCTTTCGACATTCTTTTGAGTGATGGACACATATTTATGCAACAAACGCCTCCTCCTAAAACAACGGGGAGATTGTGAAGCCTGGCAAATCAATTTCCCACTCCCACACACTCTTCTCATTTCACAGGAGGCCTTGATCCAGCCGCTGCTATGCCCCCCCCCCCCCCCCCCCCCCCCCCCCCCCCCCGCTATGCCCCCCCCCCCCTAGACTGGCTGACCTACGGCTCACTGCTTCGGCTGCTCTCCACGCTCACCTGAGAACCACTTCCTGCTTCCTGTCAATCTCTTTTGGTTTTAGTTTGGAAAGGAAAGTAGCGCTTCCTTTTTTTATACATTTCTCTGACAGCTGAATCAAAGACACGTCTCTATGTAACACAGCTTGTTGTCTTCTGCAACAAACAATGCCCCCCCCCCAGCGGAGGGGAATATTGCCTGTGATCCATTAGGGTTCTTACAAGTCAAATGCTGGCATTTTCCTCAGCTATTCAGAAAGTGCGCACAGGAGTTTCATTCTAAATTGGCTAAGAGCACATTTACAACATGCCTCTGACATCAGAGTCACACACGGTATGGTACTGCAACAGATCACTCAAAGGCAGGTCACACTGAAACCCCCCCCCCCCCCCCCCCCCCCCCCCCCTCCAACAGCAGAGACATGGGCTCATAGCAAGCAGGCCTCACTAGTAAAAATACAAGGACTGCACAATGCTGCCAAACACTAAGTGCAGAACATTATTCAGAGGCATTTTTTAACTATACATGAACTCACATTACACTTAGGAACCAACCATGTAGTTTCAAATGACAGTAACTTCAGATTCAGTACAACACACAGTATGTTTCTGACATTTCTGGATCAAGGACAGACAAGTACAGGAAATGAGAAGAAAGAAACCTATGAACACTTCCAAAGGACTGTATGATCAACAATGCCTTCAGCTTGAGTGAATGGTTTGTTTAAAGCCACAGTTGAGCAGGTCTTATGGTATTAAATCAGGTGTAACTGGCTCCTACTGAGAGCGGTCTCCTACACAACTAGTGATCCTTTGTTAAGGTAATACAAGAGAAGAAGAAGTCAACAATTACACTGGAAAAATATATGTATGTTTATATTCATATATATAGCATCTTTAAAATCTATTTATACAGAATGTATATATAGTGTACTAATGGCCATCTTGGCAGAGAAATAAAGGCATCTGAAACAATCACCGCTCTCTGATGCCATGGTCGCCCGGGACCAGACATTTGTTACATTGCAGAAATACGAAGAATCAGGAAAGAAAGTGAGTTCTTTTTTTCTTCTTTTTTTAGTGGCACTTTGTGCATCAAAAAATTAAAATCTAGAGTAAGGCTACAAGGGTGTGTATGTTTATCTGATAGAAGTTTGTCAAAGGAGGCCATCCTACAGTTTCCTCGATATGTTGCTGTGTGTGTGTGTGTGTGTGTGTGTGTGTGTGTGTGTGTGTGTGTGTGTGTGTGTGTGTGTGTGTGTGTGTGTGTGTGTGTGTGTGTGTGTGTGTGTGTGTGTGTGTGTTTTACACCCATACATCCAGCCTGAACCACTGTTGGATCACAGCTCTATATATGTACCATTGTGCTGATGAAAGTATAAATAAGACAGAGTTAAGAAGCATCCATGGTACATTACAGAGTTAGGGTGAGCCGGTGCTGGCCGCTACAAAGCGCTTGGGAGAGGTAACATTTTTCATTTTTGAAAATAACTTTTCCTGGTTTTCTTTTACCTGACAAAACAACACACAGAGAGCAGAGAGCAACAGAACACTTGTTAGTTTCTTTTCTGTCTTTACAATCAGCTGCTGGTATGTCTAGGTATAAGCCTAAGTAATCAAACAGTATTTGTATTGATTTTCTTTATTTAAATATTAGCAGTGGAATCTTTAAGACTACTCAGACTCAACCGTTACATCACAGAAATAAATAACAAAATAAATATACAGCCATATCAGTCCATTTCTTTCATATTAAATAAATAATAAATACATACTTTCTTTTTTTCTCAGCAGTGGGCTTCTGAATGTAGCAGTAACAGAAATAACATTGAACAAAACAAAAAAATAAAAACAAGAACAACCCCAAAAGATTTTTGTAAAATTATCAAAAGGTTTTGTCAGTTATAAAACATCTGCACTTAAAAAGGTTTTTAAAAAGTACTCAAAACAAAATATGCCTCTTCAGTTCTCTATATAGTTTCTTAAAATATTAACTGAGACATCTGCAAATCGCATGATAATCAGTAAGGATGCTTTCGTGTGTGTGTGTTTTACAAAACAAAGTTAATAAATAGATTGCTTCAAATAAATAAACCTCAATAACATAAATGGCAATAAGTTACAATTTAAAAGTTCACAAGTTTAAATAATTAATATATATAACAATAATTAATGTACGAAAAAACTAGTCATTGAAATGAAGTGCAATTCCTATGTCCATAAATACTATTGATATGACTAACTGAATTTGAAATGTGTGCACACTATCACTATCATAAGTTCAGTAAAGGAAATCTAATGCTTGTATAATCATGATATCGGCTGTCCCGTGGAAAAGAAACACCATTCACTGTTCCTGGAATAGTCACATGACCTTACTTGAAGATTATTTTCCCCCTGCTAAACTGAGTCAACATTGCGCTGTTGACATCTTTTCCGCAGTAATACCGCAAAGCAAACACACATTCAGTGTAGTGCGTGCTTCGTATTGCCGGGGCGTGTGTGGTCATGAATCAGAGAGCTCGGGAGAACACACACACTCGCCACAGTGTGTGTGACAGGACAGCACTGAGAGTCAAAACGTCCTCTTCACGTTCAGGCAATCCTGTGTTCACGCTCCTCCGAGTTTCAGTTTGATATGAAGCTGCCCAACAGTGAAACCCTCTCCAAAAACAGTTAAGGACACAAAAGAGACAACAGGTAAACATACAGCATAATAAAATCCCCAGATGCAGTTTGTAGTAACATTATTCTTCTTCCCATCCATCCTGACTGAAGGCTCCCAGCAGCAGCATGGTGTGGATTTTGGTCCGCGTCACTTTTCTTCTAACAGTGCTCCCTGGGTTTATTTTTTTTCTTCAAAGTTGCCGTTTTATTTAAATAACCTGAATTCCCTTTTTGTTTTTGAATCATATTTCAATATATTGTAGAGTATTTCAACATCTCTCCTCCATCTGGCCGTCGCTCCGTCTCCTCCGTCACGCTCCTGCGCTCCAGGACAGGCCTCACACTTTGATGCCTTTCACAGCTTGGTTGATGCTCTCCAGCAGAGCTTTGTTCTCGGGGCTCTGGAAGCAGTCCTTGTTGGTGTACATGTCGGTCAGCGTGCTCACGTAGCTGTCGAAGTTCTGCTCCGTGATGGGCTCCTGCTGTGTGAGCAAAACAACAACCGGTCTCAGCTGAGAAGAGCAGGGGCAGGAGGATGGCCTGAAAACACTCAGCATCACCTCGAAAACACATAGGAACTATGAGGAATGGGAACAGCGGTGCATTCTGGGGCAGCACAGCCATCTTTGAAGGACAGTAGGAACATGAAGAAAGTCCTGCCGAGATACACCAGCACATCAACTGCTCTACACACTGGACCATGTTTATGCCCCTTTCCGACATAAAGCTCTCCCCCGCCTCACTGCTGCTACTCTGTTTCTTCTTGCACTACTATAATTATTTTATTTTATTTGTTTTATTGACTGATTGATTGATTGATTGATTGTTGGAGCCTGTGACTTACATTTTTCATTGTATAACTACACTGTAGCTGTGCAAATGACAATAACGCCTTTGAACTTTGATAGCGTCTATAGCAACGGCAGCATCTGTCCAAAATATCTATCAGCTTTCACCAGCATCTGTCAGCTGTTATGCATATGAAACGAATAAAGTATGTGCAAAACATAAATGTCCTTAAAAAGAGAAGCATTTCCCAGAGACAGAGGAGCGTAATACTTGAATAAATGAATTAGGAGGAGAATGATCGATGACAAATGATTTTGACAACTTGCCACCGATCGCTGTTACTGATGTTGGCGCCTCTCTGCTGTTTGAAGCTAGTTCCTACACCTGTCGCCAATTTAAAAAAGTAAAATATTGGCAGGTCGTTGTTTAAATTACAAATGTATGGGTACATGACCTTCAAATCTACAGGTCCAATGTCACCTATACAGTCATCTGGACAAATGTAAAGTAGCTAAAGTTATGCTAACTAAATGTTAACAAAATGGTGGCTTATCATGCTTGACTAAAGTATAGGAGTAGGAGTAGTAGTAGTAGTAGTAGTAGTAGTAGTAGTAGTAGTAGTAGTAGTAGTAGTAGTAGTAGTAGTAATAGAAGTAGTAGTACTAAAGTAATTATTTGTCTTATGGTATTAGATCCGGTGACACTCAGCACATTTGGCGTCTCTTCCTGATGTCAGCTGAGTTTCCCTTGCGAAGTTTCCATGTTGTAAAGGAATGAAACGTAATCACATGGTCCTTTTTTTCTTTTCGTTTTGCCTTTTGGTCATGAATTAACTTTCACAGCTACACAACAGTGCCTATCAACCATGTTAAAAAAGTTTAAATTGAAAGGGTTAATGCAACATTGTTGTTGCAATTGGTTGCGCTCGCCATTATTCTTCAAAGATGGCCGACTTGCTGTTAATGACGTCAGATTCCTATTCCCTAAAATAAAGGTGTGTGTGAACACTCACCATGTGTGGCAGGCGGATGTTGGCCAGGCTGCGGATGAGAGCGCAGCTCAGCCCGGACAGCTCCATGAACAGAGCCTCGTTCTGCTCCTCGATCATCTTGTTCTCGTGCTCAATGCTCTTCAGGTTCATCTCCATGGAGGAGATCTGCAACACAGCAACAGGATTACACAATGCTACTAATTCAGATATAAGGGTGTAATCTTTTTTTAACAACAACATCCAGCACCTGTTGAGCAAAGAGGACCCAGCACCGCCTGCTTGTGTAAATATAATGTAAAGTTTTATTATACTGTTGGTTGGAATATTGCCTTTTTAAAGTATAGAATTCGCAGTAGCGCGTTCAAACATACTGTTTTAAATTAGCCAATAGAGATAGAGATCAATGCTTTTTGTAAATGGCAGCCATAAAAACTAGAGCACCGTATAGGAAAGCAAATTGAGGATGCAGCAGTGTTTCCCCTATATACAAATACCGGCAGTGCAGCGCCGCTGCTAGGGGGCGCCAGCCAGGTACTAAAAAAAATAAAAATAAAAATATAATTTTTTTTAACTTTATTTTTTTTAATTAAAATAATAATATTACAATATAATTTTTCATTTTTGATTGTTTGTTATGTGGATTTGTAGTATTTGTGTTACTGTATGTTCAATAAAGGTGTATTTTTGCTAAATCTTGAGACATTGCCACTGTATGTACTGGCAGGGCCGATGTTTTGGCATAGGCGACATAGGCGGTCGCCTAGGGCGCCAGATCTGGGGGGCGCTGCGCTGGTAGCTCTGGGAGGGGAAAAAACATTTTTGACCTCCGCGCTCACATTATGCTGGGCCCACGTGCCTTAGCACCGCTGCTATGACTCCATCCTAGGGGAAACACTGTGCAGTCACAGGTTCTGCTCCTTTCATGAACTCTCTTAACGTTAACAACATGGAATATCACTTTCCTTAGTGTGGCTATCTAACTTTTGCCAAATTAGCAACCACTGTGGCCCCTCGTGGTTATTACAGCATGTTAAATGCTTAACTTGTAGTACAACAGTAGCAGAAATAGAGAGAAACTATCAGTGAAATAACTGAATTAAATCTGTGCCAATCCTGCCATATACTCAATAAACCATCATAGTTTTGCCACCATTTGTCATCGTACGCTACGGGTCATAAGTAAGGTTGCAACAGCAAAAAACCTTGAGATTATGAAATCCAGCAAGTTTGTGTTTTATTACTTAATATTGGTAAGAAAAAGGTTGTTAATCCTTTTGAAAGTCTTCCTAATTGGGAATAAAACAAATGTTTTAGGTTTCTTATTGTTCAACAATATATTGTATCACATGTTTAAGTGACTGAATTGGTTACCTAAAGGCTCTCATAAGACTCACGTCAGCACTTCAGTCCTGTAAGAATTAATCACGCGTTCATTTATTTATAGGTCAAAGTAAAACAAAAATAGACACACACCTGAGTCTGCAGGTTCTCCATGTCTGCCTCCATTTCATTGTTGGATTCATTCAGGTCATTAATCTCTTTGTTGAGCTGCTTGATGTCCTCATCGTTGTCCAGAACTAAAGAAGGAGACAGAAACATTAGAAACTCTGCACCAAACTTCTTACATTAACACTTGTGCTGTGTAGTTAGCTCTAGAAACAACACACATTGATAGACACAGGTCTCCATATACTTTGATATTGATTGATTTTCAGTTTTAATCTTACCATCACCGGCTCTGAACTTCGTGCTCAGATAGTCCTCTGAGGAGAACTTGGCCTTCTTCTTGGCGAACAAAGCTCTGGGGCACCCTGAGAGGCTGCAGAAAAAAAAGACACATGTTAGTAATGTCATCATCAAAAACTTGTAGGCTATGTTTTTTTTTTTAAATGTTAATTTTTATTTTATTATTATTATTATTATTATTATTATTATTATTATTATTATTATTATTATTATTATTATTATTATTATTATTATTATTATTATTATTATTATTATTATTATTATTTGTTTAATCTCTCAAATTGTATCAGTGTCCTTTGTTGTGAAGCGCTTCGAGATTTGTCTTGGCAGATGAGAAGCGCTATATAAATTAAATGTATTATTATTATTATTATTATTTAATTTCAACTGGCAATATCAAAAATCAGCACATTGTTTCCTTGTGACTTAAAGTAATTGTTGCGGAAATATTATTTTAGATTGCCAGCAAGTATTCAGCTTAGCTTAGCATGATCACTGCAGTGGCTTTCTGGAGTCTTCAGACGATGACCCTATTTCTCACGTTATATTAATACTTTCCTGATGAGTATATTTTCTGTGGTTGTAGTAAAAAAGTTAAAGCAGGGTATGTGTTAGGGGTGGATTCCTTGCCTTGGCCACAGCGTTGTTCTCAAAGATATTTGGAGTTGAATGTACATTGCAAGCCAAGCTTGCTAGCACTATTTCTAGCGTCTCCACCCTCCCTTCCAAATATGGTCACCTCTTGTCCCAACAAAACAACATGGGGGTGGCTAAAATACCAAGCTTGAGACTTCAAAACTGATGGCGGCAAACCGATGGAGTCTTATATAACACAGCATATTGTTGCATTTTTTCTGGCAAAAACAAGAAACTGGTTTCCATATTTTAATACTTTTAAAGTTGCTGGAATACTATTTAAAAGGTTGGACTCAATATTGTTTCAGCAGCTCAAGACAAGGAAGTTCCTCATACTTTTTGACACATTACTATATTTGAATGAGGGGTGGTCCCTGTCAAATCAAGTCTAAATGACCAGAAGACCCAACAACAGGCCTTGAACTGGTCCTTAGTTTTAGTAACAGACACATCACAGTGCATGCATCTTACCTGCGGTGTGTGAGGAAGGTCCCGTTGGCATGTCCGGAGCCGTCGCACCCTGGGGTGGGACAACTGGGCCCCTCTGTCTTGAAGGCCTTCCAGTTGAAGGGTGTGCCGTTCAGCATGCCCTCCTTCTGCCTGCGGGCGGCCAGCGGACACCCGTAGGCACTGCGGTGCGTGGCGTACTTCCCGCTGATGTGACCCAGACTGTCGCAGCCCGGCACCGGACACCTGCAGCGAGGAGAGGAGGGAAACAACCAGAGAGGTGCACCAAGAGGAAGAAGAAGAGTTGAAGCCAGGCAGCAGGGAAATAAAGAAAGAAAGAGAGAAGGAACAAAGGTTAGAGAAGGAGAATCCCACATATAAACTATAGAGAAAGTTGAGAATATATTTTAAAAAACAAGTTATATACTTTCTCTACTGGGCCAAATTCATAATTTACATCTATTTTTGAAATATTATTTATGCAATGAATAATATTATGAATGCAACAGCTATTAGGGTTCAGAACAATCTTTTATCAACATGCTGGTAAATTAACTGTTTTGTGTGCAAATGCAATATGAAGCCCATGTATTCTTATGTATTCACACTACTCTTTGATACTCTACCATGAACTACATTCAGAGTCAGTCAGTGTATTTCCCATCAGTAAAGATTCAGTTTGGGGGGGCAGGTCCCTACCTCTGCATATGATTCACAATGACTTTCTCTCTCTCTTTTTTCTTATTGCATTTTACTTTTACCGTAAGCCTCGCTAAAAGCAGAATTATGTCTTTCTGAGCAGTACGAACTTTAAAAGCTCGGAGTCCTCCTGGTTGTCCTTGGTAGGAGTTTTAATTCCACTTTTCTTGGCACGCGGGCACCCAGAGATACTGAAAACAGAAAGTATGGAGTTGATAACAAAGGGTTGAAAAAAGGTCTGTTGATTGCTTGTTAAAGGGAGAGCACATTATCACGAAGAATAAATTTACAGAGGCTGTTCAACCAAATTACAAACCAAATCCACTCAAAACGCCCATTATGGCCGAAAATAGGATAATGAAAAGGTGTGGAAATGTGCGAGTATGTGATCCCTGACTAAAGCTACCATGAACTAGGCCTCTCTGAATATGTGTGTGTGTTTGTGTGTGTGTGTGTGTGCGTGTGTGTGTTTGTGTGTGTGTTTGTGTGTGTGTGTGTTTGTGTGTGTGTTTGTGTGTGTGTTTGTGTGTGTGTGTGTGTTTGTTTGTGTGTGTGTGTGTGTGTGTGTTTGTGTGTGTGTGTGTGTGTGTGTCCATGTGTGTCCATGTGTGTCCATGAGTATGGATGTGTTTGTGTGTGTGTGTTTGTGTGTGTGTGTGTGAGTGTGTGTGTTTGTTTGTGTGTGTGTGTGTGTGTGTGTGAATGTGTGTCCATGAGTATGGATGTGTTTTTGTGTGTGTGTGTGTGTGTGTGTGTTTGTGTGTGTGTGTGTGTGTGTGTGTGTGTGTGTGTCCATGTGTGTCCATGTGTGTCCATGTGTGTCCATGAGTATGGATGTGTTTTTGTGTGTGTGTGTGTGTGTGTGTGTGTGTGTGTGTGTGTGTGTGTGTGTGTGTGTGTGTGTGTGTGTGTGTGTGTGTGTGTGTGTGTGTGTGTGTGTGAATGTGTGTCCATGAGTGTGGATGTGTTTTTTTGTGTGTGTTTTGTTGGTTACCTTCTGTGGGAGGTGTAGTTTCCGGTGATGTGACCTGAGCCGTCACATCCTTGGGTCGGGCATCTGAGGGTTTAACATTTATAAGAAGGTCAGCATACAAACAAATAATCTAGAAAATGTCATTTTGCAGATGAGAGAAATGGTCCTTTACTAATTCTCTTATTCACTCTTGTGAGCAAAGTCTGTTTAAAATTCATTCTGTTCAGGCTCTCAGCCAGTTCTTGTGTCGCTCTAAAAGAAAAGTCTACTTTCTAGTGAAGAGCTACATAATTACAGTTTCATTTCACATTTACATGAACTGATTAAAGTAAAAGCAAGCATAGTCTAAGCCAGGAAAAAAAAAATGCCATGACAGATGCAGCAGCAGAGGCAGCAGCCAGCAACAAAAGATAAGATAACGTCAGCAGAACAAAGCATTGTGGGACGGTGTCAGTAGCGTTGAAGTGGCGGTGAAAGGCAGCGGAGGTGTAGAGCAGACATACTTGAGTTCAGGGGTGTGGGCCGCCATGAGGGACCGAAGGCTCTTATCAGCGAGAGGACACCCAGACAGACTGAGGGAGAGGAGAGAGAGCGAAGGACAGGCAGAGGAAGAGAAGGAAGAGGGGCAGCGAGTGTGGGGGGGTTGGAAGGAGAGAGAAGAAGGACGTGAGCGAAGAGAAATCAAGAATGCAAGGCATACCAAGGTCATTTAGGAAGAAGAGGACAGACGGCAAGAGGTAAATTACTGATGCATATCAAAGTCTATGACCGCAGTCGCTTCCCGGGCTCACGCTACATTATTGCCTCTGGCATGTGAGGATCAAATAAAATATTTGAATTAGTCGTGGTGCGCCCACTTTGGACTCAGGTGCAGAGCAGAAGACTCTCAGTAGAGCTAACATTCATGCAAGACTTTATTCAGAGAGCACTATAACGCTGTATCAGCCAAATAGATCTGCAGTGGAGCTCACCTGCGATGGGAAGCATAGTTTCCAGTGATGTGACCGCTGCCATCACAGCCAGGTGTAGGGCACCTGCAGGGGGGGACAACAACAAGGAAACAGAGAAAAGACAGAGGGACTGTTTTTAGACACAGGGTTTTTTTGGAATAGGTTTTTGGTAAGAGGCCGGAAGTTTTATTTTCCATTAGTTATGGCATTCTATCATTGTTTGTATGTTAATATTAGGTCTATTTCCCTTTCTGCAGAGCACTTGTTACTTACGCGAGAAGATCTTTCTTGCTGTCCTTGGGCAGGAACTTGACCTTGAAGCTGGGGGTGGTGACCTCTCCCGGGTACTTCCTGTCCTCTAGACAGTCCTGCATCATGTCACAGTCCTCAGCGTCTGACGAGACAAACGACTGGCCCGTGTGCTCCATCTGAGAAATGAGATTAAAAGGATTAGCACAATGTGCTGCTAATTCCTCTGTTTATCATTTAAACTGGACTGTATTATATTGACTTTTCTAGACACATTGTGAGTGATGGCTTTCTTGCAACAGTTAACAGTACGTATTTGTATACAAGCAAATAAACTTTGCAAACCCCCATGTGCACACAAGTCTGATCCCTATTCTCTTTTTTTAGACAAATGATTACCAAATGCAGTGTCCTCGTAAAAAATGTACACTCAAAGCCCTTTATATTTCTTTTTGAAAAAGTTCAAAGGAGTACAGATTTGCATATGCCAAAGTCAGGATGGTGCAATGCACCTGACACACCACCTCTGTTTCACAGTGCAATGTTTTAACTGTCACAGTAACTCTTGCATGTCAGTGAAATAAATGAATAATAGAAAGAGGAAAAGGGGACAGGAAGAGGGATTGGAAGTGATGTAAACAAGCACGAGTTTCTCATTCAAAAAGCTTGAGGGGAATTGTGTTTATTTATTGCAACACTTCCTCTGTGACTAATAAGGCAGGGAATGTGTGTGGAGCTTGTGCTCAGTGTGACTCTGACCTCCTCCAGGTCCTCCTCCCTCTGGCGGTTGGGCTTGGTGTAATCCAGAGGGCCCTCCCACACCTCCTGCTTGTAGGTCAGGAGGTTCGGAGACGTCATGCTGCTGCCATCGTGATGGAGCGAGGAAGAGGAGGAAGAAGGGTCCGGGGAGCGGACCCCGGGGCTGGACAGACTTCCCTCCCTCTTGATGGGCTTCTTCATGCTCAGGTCGAGGGTGCCGTTCTCATCCACCTCGATGTCCACTTCCTGGAAGACACAGGAGATACTCAGGATCGAGGCCGTATACTATATCTAATCAACACCTCAAAATATAACACGGTTGAAAGAGTAATAAAAGGTACACTGAAAAAACTGAAAAGTTTACTGATTATTATTATTATTATTAGGTTTAAATATAAAATATTAGGTTTAACCTGTTAAGCCCCAAGCCTGTTTTTCAGGTCTCAGACTTGAAAATGACATTTCCAGAACAAATGACCATAACTACACTTCTAAAAGGGGAACATTTATAATCCTTTTTCTCAAAGTAATGATAAACCTGTGAGTTGGATGTAGAAAAGTCAGAATCAATATAGATGTTTTTTATTTTAAAGAAAATTCAGATTGAACATAGTAAAAAAATGTAAATTATAGTGTCCGTCCAAATATTCTTTTTTACTTATAGTGAAAACTACCCTTGGATGATGGGTTACTAGACTAAAAGCTTTAGGAATCCAAAGTACAACATATAATAAGTACCCTGTATCAAGATTGATGCAAAACAAGTGACATTTGACCTTTTTAGGGAGCTTTAGAAAAATAAACTCCACCTCTGGGGTCATTTGGGTGGAAATGGGCGTTTTTGCCGTTTCTCTGGAACCCATTGGTCGATTTTGATGATTGACATCTCTTTTGAACCGTTAGAGCCAATATAATCGAAGGGGAATTTCCACATACACACCAACGTTACCATTGAGAAATGAGAGCTATGCGCACGCAGTTTGCCCAAAGCGAAACCTATCTTACGCTCTGAAATCTGAAAACTTAAAACTAGGTTTATTGCTGATGGATTATCAGAAATCATTTCAAAGTGACACAGACACATTGGATTAACCTATGGATTAACCTTCAGCAGCGTTTTTATCGTTTTAATGCCATTGAAGACAACTTTTGATCAGACAACAACGAAGGTAAGACATATTGCCGTGTTTGCTACCTAATGCCACGTGTTGTGATGTCTGTTTTTGTTTCTCATTTCGCGAGTTCTTATCATGGAGTGATGATACATATACCTATCGAATCTGTGTAATCTCACGATGCTAGTCGATGGGTTGGATTTGTATTTACGATAAGTAATAAGGGTTTTATGAGTGAGTTCTGTGCTAACGGCGTTAGCATTTTTTCGCTCAGGGCTAATTCAGAGGCTCAGCGTTAGTCTTGTGTTTTTCTTTGCTAAAAATGGTTCATATCATCAGTTAGCTGAGCTTCTTCCCGTTACATGGATATGAAACATTCATAGTTTATTAAATATTAAGAAGCCCTCAGACCAGTGGCGTCGCCTGGCCTGGGCATCCGGGGCTTTAGCCCCGAATGTTTTTTCTGTAGCCCCGGACAATTCTCCCTCAATAATATAATACATTAACTGTGCTTTACGTGAACCTCATCATGACACTAGAGAGGACGGCAGGACTGTAATTTCCCGTGTTCAGTGAATGCAACAGAGGCATGACACCAGACCAATCAGAGAGTTGCATGGAAATAAACGTGTGCTTGTGTCATTCAAGCTCGGCTCTGTGTGTGTGTGGCAATAGCGCATTAGTGTGATAGAGAGAGGGAGAAGGAGAGAGAGAGGGAGAGAGGGAGGGGAGGAGAGGGAGAGAGGAGAGAGAGAGAGGGGGAGAGAGGGAGAGAGAGAGAGAGAGAGGAGAGAGAGAGGGAGAGAGAGAGAGAGAGAGGGAGATAGAGGGACCGGTGCCAGCAGGGATCGTGTTGTTAGCATCTGGTTAGCTAGCTGCGCTAACGGACATAAGGAGCTGTTTCCACAACAAGCTGGAGGAGAGTCCTCTCCAGTCAGACTGAGAGACTCAGTGAGCTAAAGGACTCTCTGAGTGTTTAGATAGTTAACTTTAGTCTCAGTTATCTCAGTGGGTCTCAAACGGTTTGGTCACAAATTATTCAAAAGATTATTTCCGTTTATATGATCATTATAGTTATAAAAAAAAAGAGCATAAAGGAAAAACAGTTATGAAATACTATAAGACAGTAAAACAAGAATAGAGTTTAAAAGGGGAGTGATTTGTAAAATATCCATAAAGAAAAAGTAAATCTGTTTACAGTTCTGTTTCATATGGATGTTGAGAGATGTATCCATAGATCTCTTCATTTTGCTCTCAAAGTGCACCAGATTGATGCATTTCATTTCAATATTTAAAAAAAAATCTTCCCGGGGGAGCATGCCCCCGGACCCCCCTAGAGGAGGTGAGGTCCGCCCCCCACTCATAAAAAATAGCACTTTACCTCTGCCTATATGCCGTGAGCTGATTATCGAGCCTTCATTGTTACAGTCGCGGGTGTACTGTGTATGTGCGTGTGGGGAGTGTTGAAGTACAACATTCCACTGTAGCGCCGCGGCCGCCGCCACTGTGGGCTAAGCCCCGAATGTTTTGCAGGACGCCCCTGCCTCAGACGCTGTTTCCTGCAGATGATGCGTTATTCCGCCCGCCGCTGGGGGGTTGGGGTTTAACAGGTTAACTTAAAGTGGACCTATCATGCTATATTTAAATGTAGGGCCATACCTATATAAGGTATATTTATACGTTTCTGTTTTCAAAATACCAAACAGATCATGCATTTTAGCCATGCCTCATTTCGCTCTATTTGCTGTTCTCCAGCACTGTTTTTGCACAGGGCTGATTCTGTGAGCTGCAGCTGACCACGCCCCCCTGCAGGACAGGGGAGCCGTGCTCTGATGAAGTCAGAAGAGGGGGAGAAAAAGAGATCTCCGTCCTCCGTGTTTTATTATATAGAGTCGTTATTCATTTGTTTTAAAGCTCAACAAATAACAAAGAAGACCTTTGACCGGCACTTTTCTAATTTTGTCCGGAAGATTTAAACTTTAACGGACATCTTGACCGGTGAAAGAAAACCTAACTGAAACTCTGCCGCACGGTCCCCTCGTTCCTTGGAAGAGGCGGAGAGGTGGGTGTTTTTCATCTGCTGGTGGACTAACCGGAGAGAATTACAGTGCTTGCCTCGACGGGGAGGGATTGCATTGAATTAAAGCAGCGGGAGCAAACGCTTGCCTCGGGGAGGGAGAAAAAAAGCCACAGCGGAGAATAAACAGAAGGGTAACCATGGTAACCATGAGCGGGAAGTCTTCTTCGCTGCTTTTGTGGCAGACTACAGCGCCACTTACAGGCCTGGCATATGTACTACAGCGTCTCCAGCGCTTTCGAGCGGCAATGGCCGGCCCCACATTCCCCCGATAGGTGGAGAGTTGGCCCAATAGCCGTAGCGCCACTTTCCTGACGTCAGTAAAGTGTTCAAATCTGGATCAGTTTTTATCAGATCCGTTTTAGAGATTTGGGTATGGAGGAAAATAGAGAGGGTTGTGTTTTCTGACACTTGGTGAGTTCACACACATATTCATGTATAAAAGACGTACAAAAGTGCATTTTGCATGATAGGTCCCCTTTAATATCATTTATTTCAACTAACATAATACAGTTATGTGAAATCAGTTAAAGGTACCATGTCATGGCCATTTCTACTGATCATAATTCCATTGTTGAGGTCTACTAGAATAGATTTATATTGTGCAATTTTCCAAACTCACATTGGTTTTTCATACAGCAGTATGTGTATTCACTCTCTGTCCTAAACGGCTTGTTGGAGCTCCTGCCCCCCCCCCCCCCCCTCCCTGTGAGCCCAGTGGCCGTCTGCGAGACAGCGAGACACAGCGAAACACACACACACCCGCAGCCTGGCTGGGAGTTTGTGTGTGTAATCAGGCTGAGTTCCGCGGTGTCTCGCTGTCTCGCCGACCCCACACCAGTGAGCCAGCTCACACTGTCCGCTCCTCGCAGCAGCGAGCCTCGCAACGGATTGGTCCAAACGTAACGGCTCCGCGGACGTTACATTACGTCACTATACCCAAATACATCACTATACCCAAGAAGTAAACAATTGAAAAAGAGAAATCCCCAACGAGGCGTTCTGGGGCAGCATAGACAGGTCTTTTCTGTGTTAGAGTTTTACTCCCTACAGGGTGTACTTTGAGGGTTTTTGACTCTGCAGACCGTTTACATGCATAAAAAGCTACATAACACACAAGGGGACGGGTAATAACCAGAAAAGCATGACATGGGACCTTTAACATGATACATTCAATTAAAGTCAACGTTTCAGTTTTTCAGTCTCTGAGATGAAATCAAATTAGACAGTACAAGTTAAATGAGACTCAAATACCTAAAGGTTATATAAAAATAGAAGGCAATACCATTTAAAGATCCTAATGGTTGGGGAAACCAAAGATAAGGGTTGCCATTCAGTGTTTTTCTGCAAATAACAACAACAACTCTTCCAAAGTAACTTTGAATTACTATTGCCGTTAACACTTAATGTCAACGTAGCATTGTTCTGCTAAATGATAGCAGAGGATAATCACTGTGATGGTACATAATTAGTTTTTTTCTTGTATTTAATATGGAAAAATGTGCGGCTCTGTACATATTGTAGGTGGTAGCTGTGAGAAAATGAATAGAAATACTCACTAATAGACTAATTAAGTATTCTCAAATATAAATGAGTAAAGCAGTCCTCTCTGGTGCTCTTCAGTGTGAGAGGCAGTCCTGCATGATGATCATTCATTGAATTGCCCTCTTGAGCAGTTTCAGTTGCAGCGCTACACGTCCATTAACATACCTACATCTTCCTCGTTATTACTTCATATAAACCGCTCAGCCAGGGATTACATGTCTCATGTAATAAAATGCATTTGTTTTCCTGTTCGTGCCCGTTCACCTTTATCTGAAATTCTACAATTGCACTCAAGCTAATGACAAACAAGTGTTTAGCTGTACAGCAACTTTCAGAGGACAGAGCACCACCTTCTTGGCTACACGGAAAAAACTTGAAATCCTGCCAAGTGTATTGGTCTAATTTCTAGTGAGAATATGTCTCACCACTTGATATAAGACATAATGAATTAAGAGGTAACAATGCAGTGAGACATAGGGTCTTGTTTTTAGACAATGCATCTTAAGTATCTTGTGAAGTCAAAGACTCTTGAAAACATCTTATTTTGAGTTGGATCTCAGATGAAACAAGTTTTTTTAAGCTGCTGTGGTATTTGTGAAAGATGGATCATCCTGTATCAATAAATAAATCTGACTTGATTCTAGAAAACACATTTTTATTTGAAAATCAGAAAAGAGAAAACTTTTGAGCAGTTCTGGCTCATGTTGTAACACAACATTCCCTTATTCTGGTCAAATATAGCTCAAACAAGGTTTTCTCAGCTAATTACAAGACCTGATTAATCTAAATATCCCATCTTATTTCAAGAAATCTTATCAAGCAAGTTTTCACTTGTTCTATTGGCAGATTTTATTACAAGCGAAAAAACCTTGTTTTTTTATTCTTTTACTTGATTTTGGAGCAGCATCCAGTGTAAGGCATGCTAGTAATGATATATAATGCAGTGCAGTGATACTCTGCAGCAGCAGGCACTTCCTCTGTGATGCTGTGTTACAGAGCTGGCAGGTGATCAGACACAGAGGGGAGAGAGCAGCCATGTTTTAGGGATTCATCTAAAATGGCGCTCATATGTACTGGTCAGGGGCCAGGAAAATCAAAGGGTTATGAGAGGAGAGGAACTGGGAAGGGTTCCCAGAAATGTCCCTGGTTGATGAGCTCAGTGTTCCAATGTTTCAATATTGGATTTCAAGCGGCTGACTCCAGATCAGTGGCTGTTTGATGTGCGCCGTAACGCTGCGCTGTAGGCCTCGCTGAACAACACCTCGCTCTGCTGTACTGCTACAGACATTAATCTGGACTTTTTATCTTCCTAAAACCACATCAGGAAAAAAATGATGAAGCAGTCACTTTCTCTCCTCTGTGTGGCAAAAAGGCTTTTAAAAATCACAATATGGGGGAAGTGGGGCTCCAATTACACCTCCTGTGCACAGAGAGGGGGGGGGGAGATAGACAGAGAGACAAACACAGAGACTTGTATAGGGAGGAAGAGAGGGAGATAAAAGAGAGAAAAAAGATGTGAAAAGAAAATGAAAGAACGAGTGGCGGGGGTGGAGAAAGAGAGTGGAAGATCCGTGCGGCAGATAATGAAAAAAGGCTACCTGGTGGCAGAGTAATCCAGGGAACTGGCAGCCGTCCAGATTCAATAACAACATGAAAAGTGTGTGGGCTGGAGGGATGAAAGGATAGAAGAGGACGGGAGAGGTGATGCAACTGCATCTCAACACCATCCTGTAAGCCAAGGCCTCCTGATGATATATTCATGCAGAGCTGATGGGAGAGAACAAAATGAGCAAAAGACAGGAGGGGGAGAGGCGGAGAAGAGGAAGAGAGGAGGAGAGTGAGAGGGGAGAAAAAAACAAAAGAAAAGACATAGGAGGAGGAAGAAAGAAGAGGACGAGGAAAGAAAAAAGGAAAGGAAATAAAGAAAAAAAAGTGAGGAGAGGAAACAAGAGGAGACAAGAGGAGACAAGAGGAGAGGAGACAAGAGGAGAGGAGACAAGAGGAGACAAGAGGAGACAAGAGGAGAGGAAAGGAGACATGATGAGAGGAGAGGAGGAGAGAGGACGAGGGGATGGGAGGCTCGCCCCTGAAGGATCAGATGAAGGCCTGTTTCCCAACCTGCTGTCTGTGATCACCCTGTAGTTACTGTGTGGCTGCAGTACCTTGCTCTGCGGCTCGGTGCTCTGCGGCTCGGTGCTCTGCGGCTCGGCGCTCTGCGGCTCGGCGCTCTGCGGCTCGGTGCTCTGCGGCTTGGTGCTCAGGTTCTCTGGTTTCTCCCAGCAGCGGGTGGACAGGTTGAGGATGGCGGTGGCAGCCATGTGAGCCGCCTCGGCATCATGGGAGTAGTCATAGGCCAACGAGGAGCTCTTCCCGTAACCGTGGAGACTGAGGCTGGGTGACGGCGACTTGGGGAATGAGGGCTTAGCTGTGGGAGGGCAAAGGTCAATGTAAGATCAGTTGATGTTACAAATAAACACAACAAACAAGTAGACAAAACATGTGAAGCTAGAACTAATAGCTTATTAGCTTAGCTTAATGACTAAGTAGCCTGCTCCGTCTGCAGTGGTGAATTAAGTACATTTACCTAAGTACAATTTTGAGGTACTAATTACTCACGTGATGCTATTTATACTTTTACTTTACTTTGGAGGTTATATTTTACTTTTTACTCCAATAAATTCATTTTACAGCTTTAGTTACTAGCCACTTTGCAATGCAGATATAAATGAATAGTACAGAATATAAATCAACCATAATGAATAATGTATTATTATGGGTTAAGCTACCCAGCAGTATATCAAGTAATTTAAATAATCCCCAACTTTAACAAGTACAACATTGACAACAATGCCTGAATAATTAGAATACAATAATGTCATATTTTATTTATTATGAAATGGGCTATACTGGAAAATGAGTACTTTTTGTACTTGAAGAACACTTTATTATGCCAATACTAGATCTGAGTACTTCTTCCACCACTCTCCGTCTGTGAATGGTTTGAAAACAAATGGGCGGGGCTCTCCTACTTTTGAAGGCTTTGGGTGACATATCGCTGCTGTGCATCTTTGGAGCCAGCATGCGCCTCCCGAACACCTGCGCGTCGAAGCTGGCGTAATCGAAGGACACCTTGGAGTACTTCTCCAGCTCCCGGGCCAGGTTGGCGCGGGGGGTGCTGGGCGCCATGTCGGGCCGGTAGCTGCCGTACTGAGGCACCTCCAGCTGCTTCACAAAGCACATGGGCCTGAGGGGAGGGAAGGGAGAGCGAGAGGATGTCAGGGTGGGGCTGGAGGTGTAGAGGGGGGATTAAGGCAAAATAAAGAAAGTAAAATAGAATAGATATGGGATAAAATTAGGCAGTGACAAAAAAAACAAATAAGCAAAGCAGAAAAAAGAGTGGGGAGAGAATGAGAGAGGGAGAGTGACACAGAGAGAGTAAAGATAGGGCCACGGTGTACTTAGCAGGAGTGCAGCAGGATTAAAAGCTCTCTTATCAGCAGAGGGCACATTTGCATGTTGTACAGCATGGAATTTATGAGCTTTAAGCCCTCTCGTTTTCCTGGAGAGCCTGCGCTTTTGTTAGACCTGTTGGCGTACATCCACTGATAGACCAGAGAGAGGCAGGGGGGGGGGGGGGGGAGTGGGAAAGAAGGAGGGAGTGGAAGAGGTCCTCCACCCACTTTTTGCCCAGCCCTTTTCCCTCCTCCTCTGCATCATGTATGAGTCTCTGGGCTAATATCTGCAGTACATGACCCGGCCTGCAGTCTGCTCACATCTGAGGAGGGTTTTCATGACAGTCAAAAAAACGTCCTACCACTGATCACAGGGGATTTACTCCCCCTTTTTATTTATTCATTAGAGCACGGATTGCATGAGGAATTCTTCACATAACACACATTCTTAGCTCATTCTGCTAACAATCTGAGGAGGGAAAACAAAGCCAGCCTTATTATGTTTTAATCCTCTGCTTTTGTCCAACCACTGATGAGCTTTTCCTCAAGGAAAGCAATTATTTCTCCTTTCCCCCCGCAATGCCCCTGTAACTTGCATAATTAGCTTATCGGCGGCATTATTAATTACAATACCAATGAGGAGGAGCGTGGACTTAGCATAATACCAGTGTCTGCTTGTGTTAATTATCATTCTTCTGGCCGGGAACTGGGCGCTGACCGCTCGGAGATGAATGAAGATAAAGAGATGTCAGTGTCGGTGACAGTAATGATCGCAGCGGCACGCTGAATGCTCCAACACCTCCTCTCTGTATCCAGCCACTCACACACAGCTCCACCTCTGAGGGCCCGCTAACAAGGTCAGCAGGTCTGAGATCTGTCTGAGCTCAGGAGGAACAGCCTGAGAGGGACTCCACTGTGGGAGATCTTTTATATAGTGATCTATCTCAGTCTGGGGATAGATGTGATGCCTCATCTTTAGTTGAGTTTAGTTGGTTTCATTTGAACTAATACAAATCAAATACACATATAAAAAATGTATTTGTAACTATTTGACTTCCTTATTTAGTCAGTAGTATATTGTATGTTGGGTTGTTGTGAATTACTACACTATAGCTTTTGTACGTATTACAATAAAACATTTGAATCTTAAATAACAAAAATAAGTTGTTACTTTTGAAGTGACCAACCTTAGCGAGTATATACTGACTGTAAAGGTGTAGACCTTTTAAAAGTGTCTAATTCTGAATACAGTCTGGAAGTATTTTATTTGTTATTGTATACATTAATTTAGCAGTTTTTTTACTCTATCAAGGTCTTTAATAAGAAAGACAACATGTGAGATTATAACTAATACGTTGGTTGGTTCATGATGATCGGCTCGCTTTACATCTTAGAGCTCCCCTCCCGGGGACCCATGCATTTCTTATTTAGTCAAGCGGATATCTTAAAAGGACATATTTAAAGTATATGATCAAATATTTTGTGAACCCCACCTTAGCACCCTGTCGTTGGGACTTCCTTTGAGCAGCTCGCTGCCGGGGGGGGAGAGATGCTGCTTGTCGAGGCCCTTGGACAGCTTCTCTGCAGCGGCGATGGGGCATCCGGAGAGACTGCACACAAAAATATGAATATCAAAAGGGGAGCATGTTGCTGACCATGTAAATCTGCATTGCACTGATGTGGACTGACACATTCCCTGTCCTGCATATATGAATATTTGAGCTTGCAAATGCACAAAGGGAACTGCATGCCCTGTGCATAACACCCTCATCTGCAGAGTGTAGACACACAGTCAAACACAATCAGTGTGATGTATGCATGGGTACCTGCGGTGTGTGTTTCTGTTGCTGTTAACGTGGCCCTGCCCGGTGCAGCCAGGTGTCGGACACTTCAGCACGTTCTCATGCATGGCCAGAACTGTGGAGAAATACACACACACACACAAGGTTAGAGAAAATCCACGATTTCATCTAAACTCTTTTTACACGTAAGGCACTGTATGGAAATAATTTGGGGAAGGCAAGACACACCCCAGCAATATATTATTTTCCTTTGACTATGGCGAACATAAGTAAATGAATATGTAAGCTACTAATAATGAGATTGTTTAAAACTGTTATGAGTGAAATTGAATAACTGAACCAGACTGCAGCAGCAAAAAAGTTTGAAAAGTTAAAATGTTATAGATTCAAGTATATTGTGTATGTGGTCGCATTTTTGTTATTAAATGTAAAGAGTAGCAACAAACATGTTTGAGGACAGGTGTCTGGCTTTAGAGAACTAAACTAAACAAAGGGGCCTGTTTCCTCACAAACATAACATAAACGTATCCCCCCTTGAAGAGACAACTGTTTCCAGTAAGCTATATTATTTTGCAATTAAATTGAAACAATCTGGAATGACACATAATATTAGGACAAGTTCAGTCGAACTTCCATCAGCAAAAATAAAATCCCCCCCCCACCCCCTTTTCTCACCCCTCCTTTCAGTTTTGTACAGTCCCTTAGAATGAACACTAGCAGTAATCCTTTGTCAGAAAATAGCAGGGAACTGGACATGTAATGTACTTGTAGTCATGGCTACAGTACAATGGCCTCTGATATGTATGTAAGACATGTCTCTACAGTCAGACGGACAGAAACACACCACCACTGCAGACTCATATCTGAATACACTGAAACAACTGAAACGTTGTCTTAAATCAAATGTATTATGTGAACAAACATTGTGAGCAATAATATTAAGTTTAAAGTGGACCTATTATGCTATATTGGAAAAATATATTGTAGGGCCATACCTATACAAAACATGTCTGTGACGTTTTTTGCTTAAAATACCAAACAGATCACCCAGGCGGGAGTGGTTCAGTCTGTAGGGGATTGGACTTTGGACCGAAGGGTTGTCGGTTCACGTCCCGATCGGACCAAAAAATACGGAGTGTGGACTGGTACTGGAGAGGGGCCAGTTCACCTCCTGGGCCACTGCTGAAGTTCCCTTGAGCAAGGCACCTAACCCCCAACTGCTCACTGGCGCCGGCTAGACTGGCTGCCTCTGCTCTGACCTCTCAACTGCATGTGCATGTGTGCATATAACTGTGTGTGTATTTGTATATGTATGTGCATGTTGTAAAAAGTGTGTACAGTGTGTACTGTATGACCTGTATAAAAACGCATGTGTGTACGACAGAGAAACTGACTTTCCCCCTCGGGGGATTAATAAAGGTCCATCTTCTTCTTCTTCTCATTGTAGCCATGCCTCATACTGCTCATCCCCCTCTTTTGCAGCCCTGTTACGGCCCATCCACACGGCGGCGTGCGTTGAAGCTTCAGTGTTAGCATTCCGTCGCTTCGCTTTGCTCGCTTCAAAAGTTGAGAAAAGTTCAACTTTTGAAGCTTCGACGGAAGCGTCAGCCAATCAAATCATGTGCCAGTACAAGCTCTAGCCAATCAAACCGTGTGCTTGTGTGTCCGGGGCGGGAGATTCAAGATATCAAAAAGTACATTTTGCATGATAGGTCCCCTTTAAATAAAAAATAATAGGGTCAACTTAATATTATTGCTTTCAACTAACCTAATACAGTGATGTGAATTTTTTTGACATAATATATTTAATTCAAGTCAACGTTTCAGTTTTTTAGGCGTATATTTACAGAAACCAGCCAGTAAACTAAATCAAAACATCCGTTTAGAATGATCTTACCTGTGTACCTTTATCTTTTACATGGTGGTTTCTATGTTTCTGTGTATGTTAGAGTGAATAGCTTGAGACATTTAGGGGACACTGATGAAATGAGGAGTAGTGGTTTTACAGCGCTTGATGTGTCACTCCAGTGTGAGAGAGGGTGTGTGTTTCTCTCTGTCTCTGCCCTTTGTTGTCACTTTTTGTGAAGAACACTCACTCTCGGGGGGGATCCTGTCCTTGTGCGGACAGCCTGACAGGCTGCGGTGGTGGGGGTACAGACCGGTCACATGACCCGTCCCATCACACCCTGGGGTGGGACACTTGATCTCCCTCTTCTCCTGCCTACTGCTCTCTGGATAGAGGAAGAAAGGAGAGGAAACAAGGAGGGGATCAAAGGAGGAGAGGTAACAAGGGAGGAGAGGAAAGGAGGAGAGGAAGCAAAAGAGAAAGGAAACAAGGGAGGAGAGGAAAGAGCCTATAGTTAAAGATGGTTTCAGATTACCCATGACCTACATTTTATGGTATTTTATTGTTTTTATGTATTTATATTCTTGTCTTTTTTATTTTATTGTAGTTTTTTTTTTTTTTTCCTTTAAGCACTTTCATTCATGTTTGTTAATCTGTAAAGCCCACTGAGACGAACGTGTTTTGTGATATTGGGCTATATAAATAAAGTTTGATTTGATTGAACCTTTTCTCAGACCTTGTTCGGACAAAACAACACCTGAACACACATGAGGAGGATATCATGCCCCTATGATTTACAGTATCCTCTACTGGAGGTAGGCGAGCCAGCATCGGTGTCACTGGAGAGAAAAAGCAGCGAGAGGAGGGCGCGCTGCTCTATTGGCCTTCAAATTGAATGTTAACGAGACACGCATCTCCTAATTAACGCGGAGCAGAACAGGAACGTCACCGCAGGAGGGAGTGGAGGCCAAGGAGAAGGCAGCACCAGCAGCCATGTAATCACACTACTGCTGAACTGAGAGGAGCGTGACAAGTGGGCGCCATGCCAACTGGGAAACACATGCACCCTGTAAACAAACAGTGTGTAACCTGCACATGCACATATGAAGGGCCGTGTAGGCCAAAATTCAAACTAACCTCGCACACACACTACTGAAATACTCTCACATTCACTACTGAACACCTCACACACACACAACTGAAAATGAAACCTCACACACACACAACAAAACATTAACCTCACACACACACTATTGAAATACTCTCACATTCACTAGTGAACACCTCGCATACACAACTGAAAATTAAACCTCACACACACGCAACTGAAAATTAACCTCACACATATACTCCTGAAATACTCTCACATTCACTACTGAAAACCTTACACACACACACACACACACACACACACACACACACACACACACCTGAAAACATTTGACTGAAAGGTTCTCAGTAGGGAATGTGCATGTGTTTCACCTATGTGTGTGAGGGGGATTCTTGCTGTAACGGAAGTCATTGTAATGAAACGGAAGTACCAAACTGCTAGTGGTCGCTCTGCTAGCTCCGTTAGCTCCGTTAGCTCCAGTGTGCTACAGGGGCTCAGCTGCTTCGCTGATCCGGAGAACACAACTTGAACTCGGTCGTGTTTGTTGTGTTGATGCCTGGTGGAGTGTTCTTCATTGAAATATCTGACTTATCTTATGGCTCTGTGGTTAAAACAGACCGTCCATGAATGCAGTTTCTTCGGTAAGTGAAATTCAAGCACTTTCTTGACGGCTGCGGTGCTGTTTCTCTATAAATCCATGCTGAATTGGACCTTCTGTTTCATTCTTCTTCTTTAATGGCGACTTCCAAACAGAGTAGAGGAGAATTATCGCCACCTACTGTATCACTGCAGCATTGTTCTTTGTTACTTCCGTTTCATTACAATGACTTCCGTTACAGCAAGAATCCCCCTCACACACATAGGTGAAACACATGCACATTCCCTACTGAGAACCTTTCAGTCAAATGTTTTCAGGAGTGTGTGTGTGTGTAAGGTTTTCAGTAGTGAATGTGAGAGTATTTCAGTAGTATGTGTGTGAGGATGATTTTCAGTTGCGTATGTGTGAGGTTTCATTTTCAGTTGTGTATGCGAGGTGTTCAGTAGTGAATGTGAGAGTATTTCAATAGTGTGTGTGTGAGGTTAATTTTCAGTTGTGTGTGTGTGAGGTTTCATTTTCAGTTGTGTGTGTGTGAGGTGTTCAGTAGTGAATGTGAGAGTATTTCAGTAGTGTGTGTGCAAGGCCAGATGTTTTCAGTAGTCTGTGTGCGAGGTTAGTTTGAATTTTGGCCTACACGGCCCCTCATATGCAGTTGTCATTGCACACTCTAGTCCCACCTTTAAGCACCTTCTCTTCGTTAGTTTATTCAGCTGGAACCACTTCATCCACATCACAATGGAGATCTAAACACAGCTCTGTGACTCACCGCTGTTTATTTGGTACAACATGTTTATTTGTATACTCAATCCAAATGTATTTTCAGCATGTGACACTTTTTGCTGGTTCAGAACATCGTGTGACCAAATGTGTGGCATAATTGTTGTTATTGAGTTTGATTAAGGCAGGCTAGCTGTTTCCCCTGCTTTCAGTCTTGATGCTAAGCTAAGCTAATCTTTTTACAGTAGTGCAAAGATATGGATACTGGGCCACCAGTCTTGTCAACATTATTTTTACTGTAATTTCAGATTAGATTAATTGAGTTTAGATGAATTGTAAAGTTACAGTTAAATTGACAAATGTACTAGTATTTATGTTTTATACATCTATATTTTGATCTGTTTTAATTGTTAGTCTGATAGGAAATGTTGATTGTTTGTTGATTATTATGTGTGTACCTGCCCGAAGACGGCAGATGGAAATGAGCTTTTAGCTATTATCTGTCATATATCTGTCTTCCTTTTTGAGAAAAATGTAATTTTATGCATGGTCCTTGTTCTATAAAGATAAAATAACATTTAATAACAATCGTCTTCTGGCTCTATCTTTAGAAATAGTGGACAGACAAATAAGGGAATAAGAACATTGCCCAAATTGCCTTTATTGCAAGAAAAGAACAATTCACTCTTTCTTTAATTGTTTCTCAAGTTTTTTCCCAACTTCTATCAGGAGGTGAGTCTCCTGTCTTAGAGTGTTTTTGAATTCAGCATCAAGGTCACGACCCTGCTTGCAGCAGCACTGCCATGTGATGCTTACATTACAAGACATAAATAAAGTGGGCGTAATGCCCCTGATTTATTGCACACCTCAGGACCTGCTGCAGCTCTGGCCTACCTTTGCAGAAGTAGCTCTTGCGGATGATGTCCAGGTGCTTGGGCCTGTCGTCCATGGTGAAGTAGCGCTGGTGGAGGATGTCCGGGGCTCGGAGCAGATCTCTGGGCCCGGAGGGCTTCACCTGCTCCGCCTTCAGGGCGATGGCCTGCTCCAGCAGGCCCAAGTTCCCTCGGGTTATGTCGAACATCTCCGACTCGTCCGTCACGGTGGAGCGCTGTGATAGGCTGTCATCGTCGAGCTCGTCGTCCCCGTCCACGTCATCGAAGTCCCTCTCAGACCTGTCTGAGCGCACCTCGATGACGTCAGGGGAGACGGAGGAGCCGGCTTTGTGGATCTTAAAGTTCTGGCCTCTGAGGTTGGGAAAGAAGTCCTCCAGTGGACTGGCCCTGTGCGAGCTGAAGCTCAGAGGAGGGCTCTGCTTGTAGCTCTGAGGCGGGCTGGGTTTGTGAGAGTCATACTTGTTGAGGGGACTGTGGGAGTTGTAGTTCTGGGGGGGACTGGCCCTGTGTGAGTTGTAGTCCTGCAGCAAACTGTGGTGTTCAGCCTCTGAGTGAGTTCCCTGAGCGGCGGCGGTGCTGGTGATGGTGCGGATTGGCACATCAGGAATGGACAGAATTTGGTTCACCTCCCTGTGTTGCTCCTCTTCCTCTTTCTCCTCCTCCTCTTCTGCTGCTGGAATGCCCTGACTTTGCTGTGCTGGAGCTGCCATCTTTTCCTCCTCCTCCTCCTCCTCCTCCTCCTCCTCCTCCTCCTCCTCCTCCTCCTCTCCATCTTTGATCTGTTCATGGTCTTCGGTCACATATAGGGGGCTCACATGGTCTTTCTCTTCTGCCTCCTCATTCAACTCCTCTTCCTCCACTTCAGCTGCCTCCTTGTGCACAACAGATGACTCCTCCAATACTTGAACTGTATGTGCCTCCTCCTCTTCGCCCCCATTCATGTCCCCTTCATGCTGGTCCTTTACTTCTTCACCCCGCTCGGCTGCCACGGCGACATCCTCCTCAGTCTCCACGGCAACAGGCTGCTGAATGTCCACGGAGGGTTCATTGTTGGGGGAGATTTGGCCGAGGTGGAGGAGCGAGTTGGCCACTTCCTCTGCTCTCTGAGAGGGAGACTGGACCTCCTCGGATGCAGGTGGCGCTGCTCCAGGATCAGTCTCCAAGAACACACACTCTGAGGAAACATATGAAGAAGAGTCAGAGCTGTGAGCAGGAGGCGAGTCATGCAGAGAGTCTTTTGTACTGTTTACACGGGAACGAAACGGGTTGTATCCGCTACTTTTCTCTTTCTCTGGGGGGCCAAACGGCTCCGTGTGTACGTCCTATACGATCATTTTCCTGATAACGATGACGCCATAGCCCCGCCTCTCCCCACCTCTGCTGCTCTCTGCTGTAGCATGGTCAGTAGCTGCTGTCAGTAGCTACTGCTAGTGCTACTGCTACTGACCATGCTACAGATGTTAGTGCAACATCTACAGCTCCTCTACCACAACCATCAGCAACAAGTGGACATGGAGAACTACATGAACTACATGTTGCTAAATCCACCGTGGAGAATAAACAGAAGGGCAACCAGGCAACCATGGCAACCATGCTCGGGGGTCTTCTTCGCTGCTTTTGGTGTATTTTGTGGCGGAAGTACAGGCCCCGAATATGTACTACAGCGTCTCCAGCGGGTCGAGCGGTCTCGTGTGGAGGGACACGTTTATTGAGCCGTATCCGTGTGAAAGGAATACTTTTTTGATATCGAATTCGGTTCGTTTGCGTTTCGTTTGCGTTCCCGTGTAAATGGGGTCTTTATCATCACCTCCATTCACTGAAATACACCGCCTGCTGTGACACAGTGTTGGTGTGAGGCAGTGTAGAAGCACTCACAGTCCCCTAGTGGTCATTAGGAGAACTCACTTATTACTGACCTGCATTTTGTTTTGCTGTCTGTCAGTTGGAGTAAAACTGACAAGTGCACTCTCAAGAAACTTATGAAGTATATATTAAGTCTTGCACAGTAAACTGAAACATATCAAAGTCAACTTGAATCCTCAGTGTGAAGAGGAGGATGACTGTGGTTTGTCTCACCTTCATCAGCGGCAGGTGTGTTCTCCTCCTTCTCTTCTTCCCTCTCCTCTTCCTGCTCCATCTGTGTCTCTTCCTCCTCCTGTCCGTGTGTCTGTCCGTTCTGTTTCATGTCCTCTTTCTCTTCGTCCCCTTCTACAGCTGCCTCCTCCTCTTCCTCCTCCTCCACCTCCTTGGTCTCTGCTCCTCTCTCTCCATCCTTCTCTCCCTCCCCCTCGCTGCTGCCGTCGCTCTCTGCGCTGAAGCCCTCGTCCAGGGCCAGTTTCAGGGGGTTGGACCTCCTCTTTGGGGGGGGCAGCTCTGCGTCCTGCTCCTGCTCGGCCTCCTCTAGACGACGCTTCCTGGCTATGGGACATCCCAGAATGCTAGAGGAAGACAGAGAGGGGAGGAGGGATCATAAATGGTGACATCACAGACACACCTGCACTGAAAAAACTGAAACGTTGACTTTCATTAAATGTATTATGTCAACAAATTCCACATAACTGCATTAGATTAGTTGAAAGCAATAATATTAAGTTGAACCTGATATTTTTTGGGAAATCGTGGGAAATTTGTCATAATTTTGACATAATACATTTCATTAAAGTCAACATTTCCGTTTTTTCAGTGCATGTTGTAGGCCAGCATTACTATGCTGTTATGGAAGGCTGATTCCTACAGGTTCTCACAGGGTTGATCTACAGTCTTTGAGCAGATGAACTAGTGGAGCAGCTTTGACTTTAAAGTAGTCGACAAACACTTGTACCGTGTAGTATTGCAGTACACAAAATAACAGATGAAAAAACACAAGAAGAATTTGTGAGTGACTATAAGCAGCATGATGGAGCGAGTTTGTGTGTTTTGACATGAAGAAGGATGGAGTGGTTGGAGTCAACACCTGGGGGGGGGGGGGGGGGCATGCATGCTCACTCTGAAATCAAACCACTCTCCACCCTCAGCCAATTGACTGGAACGTTTAATGAACAACTTGTATGGAGGGGCGGGCGGGCGGGCAAGGCAGCGGAGGGTGAAATCCAATAAACCCCCTCTCACTCTCACCTGGGAGATGCCGGGGGAGATTGAGGGACGATCTATAAACAAAGTGCATCTGAAATTGCCGGCTGAACGAATACACATGTAAACAGATAGCTAATATCTGCCCCTCAATAAAGAGCAGTCACAAGCCAGCGAGCGCCCCCCAGTCTGCGGGGTCTCTGAGGGCGGTGGGTGCAGGCGGGGCGGGGGGGGGGGGGGATTTAACTCCAATGAAAAACCTGGAGAAATCACATTTTCTGCTGAAAATGATTACTTAGGTTCAGATTAAGAGGCTCTGGGAGTTTCTGTGTTATCTCGAAAAGAGCTATTCTCTAATAGTCTAATCTCAAGATCTAAAGATGTTGATGTTTAACCTTTCATAAGGATTATTTCTCGCTCAAGAAACTATAACAATTCCAATAACGGATTTTGAATGCCAATCCAAACCATTAGTCACCCCAAATGTGAGGTGTCGCAATGAAATGACCAGAAAAATAAAGCAGAACAATTTATTTCTGTCAAACAAAGTCGGGTTATTTATTTTAAGATAGCCCCTTTCTAATTTAATAGCTTAAAAAATGACTAATTTGTTGATTCAAAACTGCTTTTTATGACAGGCTCTGCTTTGCTTGCTCTCTGCTAGATCCTTTTTGTTCTAAAGTTAGAAACCACCACTCTCTATGCTAACCGGCTGTAGCTTCATTGCTAGCATACAGACACGGGAGGAGTAGGATTGATTAGAGTAGTATTGATCTCAACAAGAAAATGTGTTTTTATAAACATAATATCGAATCACATGGTATTTTCCACGAAGCAGATTGATGCTGCGGGGCGAGGAGGACGAGGAGGACAGACAGACAGAGAAGAAGGACAGACAGTGGGTGGCTTTTTAATCTGCCCTACCTTCTGTGTCGTGAGTATCTCCCACTGATATGGCCAGTGCCATTGCATCCAGGGGTGGAGCAGCTGGATGGGATGGATGGAGGTTAGAGATTATGTTTAAAGACACGGTGCATTTTAGTCCCTGAGCAGCAGCAGTGATAACCACAGGCAATAAACAAAGCAAATTAAGATAAACAAAGCAAAGACATGCAACACATATCACACAAATGCACATGCACAAAGATACCCATCCAGCAGACACACATAATGCATGAATGCAGGTGGCATCAAGCCGGGAGAACATAATATTGTATGTCGTACATCAACCCTGGCCTATATCCTGTTACTATGAGCGATAAGGATCAGCCGCGAGCCGCTGTAATTTCCCCTGCTCGGCTCTGCTCTCCAGTCATCATCATCATCATCATCATCAGCCCCCCCGCTCCTCTCAGGCAGGTTGCTATGACCCCTCAGGACGGCTCATTTCAATTCTCATTAACTTCCCCCAGCAATTGCCCTTTATTACTCCAATTATCCTTATTATTAATTTCACTTATTAAAAAACGCTGCATTTGCATTTTAAATCAGGCGCTCTCTGGCCTCCCTACTGTTTTTTTTTTCTTTTAACCAAAGGCTTTTTTTTTTCTGGAGTGCTGAGCTCAGATCGATACTCAGAGGTGAAGTGAGACAAAATGAGGGAGGATGAAAATATGGTTTGGGAGGGGAGAGAAAGAGGACAATGGGCTTCATGGGCCTGAAAGCTGCCGCCTGGTGGGGAGGGAAGAGGAGAAGCATCCTCTCTCCCCACGCTGGATCCCTCCATTGAAAAAGATCAGACCCCTTTCAATGCTGCTACTGTATGTGTTCATAGCAGGAAACAGCTGTGAGAAATCAATAGCAGCCTGTTGGAGGGACTGACCATGAGCGTAGATGATCAAATATAAAAAGACATCATCTAAAGAGGCACCGATAGTGAGTCTACAAGTGCCGGGGGTAGTGCACATAAAATAACTTTATGAAAGGAATTTGCACAAAGATGAAGGTGTTTTCTTACCTCAGCTCTTGTCCTACAAGCTCAATAGGAACTGGGAAAGGGGGAGAAAAATATGGGGGGGAGGAGAAGAAAGGAACAGGGAGGGAGAACAAAGGTGAACGACTGCTCAGAAAGCTGCGCTGCTAAAAGAAACTCAGATCAATAAATCACAAATGCATACGAATCCCACGAGGCTTCCTCATAGAGCTAACACAGTGCTGAGTGCATGATCACACACACACACACACACACACACACACACACACACACACACACACACACACACACACACACACACACACACACACACACACACACACACACACACACACACACACACACACACACACACACACACACACACACACACACACACTCTGAAGAGAAAACCTAGATCAGCCAATTTGAGTTGTGCAGTTCCGGAAAAAAAGTGACAATGAAATGCAGACTTCAGCAATAAAAAAAGTGATTAATTGTTGCACCTTTAGTTATTATAATTGGCAAAATGAAATTAGAAAAGGAAAAGTGCCTTGATCAGTAGAAAACAGCTCTTCTTTCAGCGACAACTTATAGTAATTGCCTATAAAACATAAATCAAGCTCAGCTCTAAAACAACACACACACAAACACACACACACACACACACACACACACACACACACACACACACACACACACACACACACACACACACACACACACACACACACACACACACACACACTGCTCTGAGCTGGTTATGGCCATCGATTGGAAGTTGAGCAATAGAATGAGTTCGGAGAAAGATCCTATTTTCATTTGGAGCGAAGGAGAAAACAATATGATGCTGGAGAATTCAGTTCGGGCTCTGATATCACATGCATTCATCACATGTCAGGAAGAGCGCCGCACTGAAGACACACACACTCACACACACACTATGGTGATGAGTGTGTATGCAGCATCTCAGTTTCTCAGTCTTTCATCATGCAGCTGCAGCGGCTGGACGCCTTCCTGCGCTCTGAACGCTCTGTGAACTGTTCCTCTCAACACCAACTCACACTCACACACATGGAGGAAGACACACTAACATGCACACACATATAAACACACATGGTGATCTGCACTCTTCTTTACTTATTGTAGTTGCTGATGTGAGAGAAACTGTATTGAACTTTAAGTTAGTGACCAGGCGATGGTGACTCAGGGGGAAATGGACATCCACCAATCAGAGGGTCAGTGGTGTGATCTCTAGGCCCTGAACATGTCCACGTGTCCTTGGGCAAGATACTGAACCCAAAATGGCCTGTTCTGTTACAGCTAAGTTTAGTATTGTTTGCATTTTCTGGGCTATTTTTGGTGTGCCTATTGTGCCTGGTCGTGGTCCCTTTAAGAATCAGGATGACATCATCAGATGGGTGTGTCAGGTGATCATTAGAGAGGAGATAGGCAAAGCATGGCTCTGTGAGCAATGTGCTATTGTTTGTAAAGAAATCCAGCTACATCTGCATATGCCTTTGATCGCATCGTATGTACCTATTGTAATATGGGTCTAATAACAGTGTAGCATGGGTATAATATTGGTGTAAAATGGGTGTAATAACCACGTAATATTGGTTTTATGTAGAAAATACCAATCAATTAATGTTACATAATATTTGTATGTGATTGTCCATTTAAGGGTTAAACTTTAAGCACTTTGAGCAGACTTGTTGGAGAGAAATGCCACTCACCTCTGATTCCTTTGGACCGAGTGCGGGTTCGCTTGTCGTCCCCTTCTACACTCATCTGCAGAGGGAGAGGGAGAGGAGGAGGAGGAAGAGGAGGAGGAGAGTGATAGAAGGAGAGGACAAAAAAGGAAGAGAGAGGCCATCAGTGGTAATTTCTCAATGCTCAATTCCCCCCCCCCCCCCCCCCCCACACACACACACATCCACAGGTAATTGTCCTCCCTGGGCTTCAAAAGGACTGCTATAATAACCCTCACTCACTGTGTTCCCTCTGAAACACACCAAAGGTAACGCTGAGAGACCATCATATCTTCAATCCTCGCAGAAACATCGCTCCCTCACCCGCAGTTATCTCCCACCACCACCAAGACAAACCCCACACACACTCCACCCCACACACACTCCACCCCACACACACTCCACCCCACACACACTCCACCGGAGGAGAGACAGGAATAAACGGTAATGGAAGGGAAAACAAACGCTGTTGTGCAAACTACTTCTCCTCGCCCTCAAACACCTCCCATCACTCTCCCTGTAATTCCCTGCACCTGAATGGTACACATGATTGTACACTGTGCCGAGGCAACAGGCAGGCCCTCTGTTTACAGGGGCCACGGCCCCCGACCAGAATATAATAATAATAAAGCAAAAACACACAGGCTGCTAAAAAGCCAACGTAATAACCCTTTTAAGAAGATGGGCAGTGTGTGTGTGTGTGTGTGTGTGTGTGTGTGTGTGTGTGTGTGGTGCCTGCTGCTTACTCCTGGCTCCAATTTTAAACCACAAAGGAGCAGGTGTTAACCCTGCTGCCTCGCACACACACACACACACACACACACACACACACACACACACACACACACACAACACACACACACACACACACACACACACACACACACACACACACACACACACACACACACACACACACACACACACACACACTGACCCCCGGCCACACCTCTATCGCTCAGTGCTGCTCTCAGTGCACTCTAAAGCTATCAGATGCTTTTTAGACACAATGGAGCCATTAGCTTTGATTACTGGACTTTTTTTCCCTAAATTGCAGGTCTCCCCTTTTTCTCTCTTCTTTCTCACTTCCTCGCTCCCCCCCCCCAAGTTGCCTACACCTCCCCTCTCCTTGCCCGGGCACTTTGCTGCTTTGTTACTTCTCTGTAAGTTGGCAGGGCCACAGTGGGACTCAAACACGGGGGCCCTGTCTCTCTTCTTTTTCTTCTGCCCCCCCCCCCCCCCCCCCCCTCTCTTTGGCAGTGCCCCTTTCCTGCTAATAGACTACTTATGAAAAGAAGGAGGGAGAGAGGGCTGAGAGGAAGATGAAGCACGCTGTTGTTGTTGTTAAGGGCTTTTTCCCCCTCCCCTGAGGAGGGTGCGCTTCATTCATTAGTGTCTAGTGTTTGTCCGGAGGTACAGGTGCAGAAACAAGCCCCTCCCTTCCTTTGCGGCTCTCCCCTCTCTTTTTCTCTCCTCTCCTGCTTTTTGATCAAACTGTGTTCATGTAGAAGTCGTGCAACAAGCGGTGGCGTTGTGCGGCGCCTGGGGGGGGGGGGGGGGGCAGTGGACTCACAGTGTGAAGGGGAGCGGGTGAGTGTGCGCTGAAGAGTGTGTGTGTGTGTGTGTGTGTGTGTGTGTGTGTGTGTGTGTGTGTGTGTGTGTGTGTGTGTGTGTGTGTGTGTGTGTGTGTGTGTGTGTGTGTGTGTGTGTGTGTGTGTGTGGGTGTGTGTGTTCTCTTTACACAAGTGCCTGTGTGTAGTTCAACGTCCATTTCCCTCCACTCCACTGTCCAATGGTTTGCAGGCATGTTCAATTCAGCTGCAGTGGAATAAGTGAGGACATACGTTTAAATCAAGTATTTAACTAATGCTACTTTATTCTTTTACTCCACTGCATTTCTGAGGGAAATATTGCACTTTTTAGTATTAAACATATAAACATGAACTATTCTGATTTGAGAGCAGCCCTACATATGAAATAGTAAAATAAAATAATGATTGATGAGTAGCTCATATACAATGGAAACATATCCATTGTATCATTGTATCAGCTGTAACATCTGAACACACAAGGGTATGCTCAAAGTTGGTACATTTAACAAATATATTCATATATTTATATTTTATATAGTTCTTCAAAGGATTGAGAAAATAGCGCTATTGGTCAATGTGATCGCTCTTGGATCTTTTGAAACTATGCCAGTTTTATGCATTATAACTGTTTGATATTGTTGATATTGTGCTAACTTTTCTGTACCATGGTTTGTCTCCTTGTATTGTTTGTGTATATTGTTGCGGCCATGGTACCATCATTGCAAGGTCACTCTTGAAAAGAGATTTGAACCAAAGATAACAAAAGTGGGTCTGCAGATACACAACATATCTTTCTGCACCACTATAACTAGATTTTTCCATTATAAATAGAATAGTGTGTGTGTGTGTGTGTGTGTGTGTGTGTGTGTGTGTGTGTGTGTGTGTGTGTGTGTGTGTGTGTGTGTGTGTGTGTGTGTGTGTGTGTGTGTGTGTGTGTGTGTGTGTGTTCCTCCCTCATGAATAGATGATACACTCTGTTGCTCCTGTACTTTCTCCTCCTTCATTTGCCTCCTTCCTTATATTGATAGTCGTCGGATGAATCAAAACCTGGACTGAAAAGGGCCCCTATTGCTTTCATGTTTGCGTAACCATAGTTACGCACATTTAAATAGGTAAGCACATCTGAGTTCTCCTCTTTTTCCGGTCCCTTTTCTCAATTCCAGCTCATTACATTTGTATGAACACAAAGTCACCGCGAGTGAATCTGGATGCACCTGATTCTCATCATCTCTTCCAAAGGAGCCTTTGAATGTATGCTCCAAACTTGTCCTTTACCTTGTTGTCTTTTAATTAGACTCCTTGAACAGTGTATGCACGTGGGCCTACACACGACCTTTACAGAGCGGAGAGAGGAGGGGAGTGTGTCCGCCATGTGTGTCTCTGGGTTTAACTAGTGTGAAATGTAGTGTGCAGCAGCAGAAGGAGAAAAAGAAGGGGGAGGAGGAAGACATGGCTCATCCCTACAGGCTGCATTGTACATTATCAATGATGTACTTCTTTGTGTGCGGGGGTCCGCTCTGCATCCTGACTGTAAATGTCTGGCTGGGGGCAATGACTTCAGAGAGAAGGTCACCCTCCGTCCCCCGATGCACATAAATGACTCTTTTATTCATTTGCAGGTTTACAGGAGTCGATGAGGAGAGGAGGGGGGGGGGGGGGGGTTAAGGTGGAGGGCAAGGAGTCGAAGAGGAGACGGACACCTCCCAAAATGACAGGCGGACAACGACTGCCAATCAGCTGCAGCGTGCACCACAGGCGGAGCACGCTGCAGCCTCCATGTTGGATCACGTGCGGCCAGCCCTTCCACAGTTTCACTTTAATAATTCACACAAGGCAGGGCGGAACAGCGAGGGGGGGGGGGGGGGGGTTCTCACTTCATATGCAAAAAGACTGTGACTGCATAATGGGTCAGATGTGTGCTGACAGAGGTTTGCCATTTACACTGTGACTCATCCTGATTCCTGTCCAACACTACGCGTCTATTCATCTACCATCCAGCCGCGCTCATCCATCTCACTTTGCTACAAAAAGATAATAAGAAGGTTTGTGAGGGGGGGGGCAACACTTGATGCAGTGTTTGAAACCTCCCTCTCCTCCGCTCCCTCAGCAGCAGAAATCAAACCAAATCAATAAAAGTCATCTCTTCAGATGAACCCGAGCCATCACGGGGAAGCAAAACTACTTTTACTGGGCCCGGGGGAAAACAGCCCCAACCCCCGCCTCTCCACCCCCACTCCTCAATCCCTCCATCTCTTTGTTGAGTGTCACATGCTCGGCTGTGATGCACGGGGGGGGGGGGGGAGAACAAGCAGCAGATGTTTTCAGAAAGGAGAAATAACCTTGGTAATTTGGGTCAGAAGTTTGAGAAGAGGAGAGACAGAGTGTTTCTCTACCCTGCCGATAAGGAGGAATATCATGGAGCAGAAGAGTATGAGCAGCTCAAGGACATCCTTTTGAGTTTTTTGATTGTGTTTCACTACAAAAAAAGAAAAAGAATCCTGTGAAGTGAACTCAGCAGTGGGAAAATGCTGAGCTGTGCCATGCTGAGCTTAACTAAACTGAACTAAGCTGAGGCAGAGGATGGGCAGGGCCGGCCGGACTTGATGTGCTGTCCCCCCGCACACACACACAAGCACACACAGCCTGCCTCTTTTCTTCATCCTCCCCTCCCTCTGCCTCCACCCTTTTTGACTTTCCCCGCTGAGTTAGGGATTGGGGAAATGCCCAGGAAGCAGAATCATGTTCGAAAGGGTGTGGTGGAGAGGGGGAGGGGCTGCAGGGCCCTGTCACTCACCATGATTGGTCGACGGCTCTGCAGTCTCTGGGAGGCCTGGCAGCGGCTGCTGGTCCTCTCGCCTCGTGTCCACCGCTGGTTCACCAGCTCGCCCCGGAACTCATTCTCTATGAAGACGGAGAAAGAGAGTTGTCATGAGAAATCACACACACACACACACACACACACACACACACACACACACACACACACACACACACACACACACACACACACACACACACACACACACACACACACACACACACACACACACACACACACACACACACACACACACACACACACACACAGGCATGGTTAAGTGCCCCAGCTGGGGTCCCTGTCAGTCTGCTATTAGAATCAATCAAATTTGCGCATTTTTATTGAGCTTTTCAGGGTGCATATATAAGCGAACAGGGGGATGGGCGCTGTGCGAGGAGAGGGGGTGAAGAATGGTCAGTAAATAATGAATCATACATAAATCAAGCCTCTTTTTTTCTCCCCCTTTTTTTTCATCAAGGTAATAGCTCTTCACTTCATCTTTCTGATTGGCCAGGAGAAACACACTACATCCTTTCCCCTTCTCTCACACAAGCTGGACGTGTTAAGCACAAAACACACTGTTGTACCAACAGTCGAGGTGTTCTGTTGTTTTTCCTAACCCTTTTTTCAAGTTCAGAGAGAGAGTGTTTTTCTATGAATGCCCAAGGCTGAACTTCTCTGTCAGACTCTACAGCTGTGAGAACCCCAAACAGCCGAGTGGCTCAGAATCACATCCTACCCTCTGGCTCTCACCTCTCTGTGCGTCCCTGCAGAGGCAGCAGAGAGAGGCAGTGAGAGAGGCAGAGAGAGGCAGAGAGAGGCAGAGAGGCAGAGAGAGAGGCAGAGAGAGAGAGAGAGAGGCAGAGAGAGAGGCAGAGAGAGAGGCAGAGAGAGAGGCAGAGAGAGAGGCAGAGAGAGGCAGAGAGAGAGGCAGAGAGAGGCAGAGAGAGAGGCAGAGAGAGAGGCAGAGAGAGAGGCAGAGAGAGAGG